ACTTCAAAAAGGGGAACTACACAAAAATGAAGCTAAACAGAAACTGAAAGGAATAGTCACAAGAGTGAAATGCCTGCAAGCTGCATGGAAACTTTTTAAAAGCACAATAATAAAAGGCTCAAATTATAGGTATTATCTCCCCCCCTCTTCCCCTTCCCCTCCTCCCCCCCAAAACGGCAAGAGGACCAAAAAAAGGCCACTAAACAGAGTAAAACAGGTGGTTAGAGACAAAAAGGCACATTTCAAAAATTGGAAGTCAAATTCTACTGAGGAAAATAGAAAGAAGCATAAGATCTGGCAAGCCAAGTGTAAAAGTAGAATTAGGCAAGACACACAAACTAACAGGATTTTTTTTTTTTTTAGAAGTATATTGGAAGCAGGAAGCCTTCCAAACAGTCAGTGGGGTCACTGGATGATCAAGGTTCTAAAGCAGGGGTAGGCAACCTATGGCATGCGTGCCGAAGGCGGCACACGAGCTGATTTTCAATGGCACTCACACTGAAAGACTGCCCGGGTCTTGGCCACCGGTCCAGGGGGCTCTGCATTTTAATTTAATTTTAGATGAAGCTTCTTGAACATTTTAAAAACCTTATTTACTTTACATACAATAGTTTAATTATATATTACAGACTTATAGAAAGAGACCTTCTAAAAACGTTAAAATGTATTACTGGCACGTGAAACCTTAAATTAGAGTGATTAAATGAAGACTCGGCACACCACTTCTGAAAGGTTGCCGACCCCTGTTCTAAAGGATCACTCAAGAAAGACAAGGCTGTTGCAGAGGAGCAAACTGAATTCTTTGCAATGGTCTACACTGCAGAGGATGCCAAGGAGATTTCCATACCTGAGCCATTCTTTTTAGGTGACAAATCTGAGGAACCTCAGATTGAGATGTCAATAGAGAATGTTTTGGAACAAATTGTTAAAAAGTAGTAAGTCACCAGGATCAGATGGTACTCACCGATGAGTTCTGAAGGAACTCAAAGATGAACTACTAACTGTGGTTTAATTTCTCTCTTAAATCATTCTTTGTATCACATGACTGGAGGATAGTTTAATGTAACACCGATTTTTAAAAAAGGCTCCAGAGGCAATCCTGGCAATTACAGATTGATAAAACTAATTTCAGTACAGGGCAAATTGGTTGAAACTCTAGTAAAGAACAGAATCAACAGGCACATGGAGAACATTATATGTTGGGGAAGAGTCAACACAGCTTTCTTAAAGGGAAATCATGCCTCACCAATCAATCAGAATTCTTTGAGGGAGTCAACAAGCATGTGGATGAAGGTGATTGAGTGGATGTAGTGTACTTGGACCTTAGAATGCCTTCAACAAGGTCTCTCACCAAAGGCTCTTAAGCAAAGTTAGGAGTTGTGATAAGACAGAAGGCCCTTTAATTGAAGAGCAACTGGTTAAAAGATAGGAAACAAAGGATAGGAATAAATGAAAGATCTTGGAGTCACTGTGGATAGTTCTCTGAAAACATCCACTCAATGTGCAGCAGCCACTAACAAAAAAGCTAACAATGTTAGGAACCATTACGAAAGGGTTAGATAGTAAAACAGAAAATATCACGCCACTATATAAATCTATTGTATGCCCACATCTTGAATTCTGTGTGTAGCTCTGGACACCCTATCTATAGCAGACTTATCCATCCTCATTCTCAAAGGAAACCTGCACAACACTTTCTAAAGACGAGCCTGGGAACTTAAAATCATTACTCTGCTAGCCACTAAAAATAGTGGATCGAACAGAGACACTGGATTTATAGCTTATTACAACCATCTAACCCCCTTCTTTTTGTCCTTTGATTACACAAATGTTAACAGGCTACTCTATCTTGAATAGTCCCTTAATAATATGTGCTACTTATGCTACACAATCTGTTCCACCTTCCATTTTGCTGTGATGCTGGGAGTACCTTTCCCAGACTTGAAGAGCTCTGTGTAGCTCGAAAGCTTTTCTCTCTCCCCAATAGAAGTTGGTTCAATAGAAGATATTACCTCACCCACCTTGTCCATCTCAAAAAAGATATATTAGAATTGGAAAAAGCACAGAGAAGGGCAACCAAAATGATTAGGGATATGGAACAGCTTCCATCCGAGGAGAGATTAAAAAGACGGACTGTTCAGCTTGGAAAAGAGATGACTGATGGGGGATATGATAAAGGTCTATAAATCATGAATGGTGTGGAGAAAGTGTTATTTTTCCTTCACATAGCATATGAAGCAGGGGACACCCAATTAAATTAATAGGCAGCAAGTTTAAAACATAAGGAAGTTTTAAATGCACAGTCAACCGGCGGAACTCACAATGCACAGTCAACCGGCGGAACTCTTTGCCAGAAGGTGTTGTGAATCAAAAAGTATAACTGGATTTAAAAAAAAAGTAGGTAAGTTTATGGAAGATAAGCCCATCAAAGTCTATTAGCCAAGATGGTCAGAGACGCAACCCCATGCTCTGGGTGTCCCTAAACCTCTGACTACTAGAAGTTGGGACTGGACGACAGGGGATGGATCAAATTGCCCGCTTCTGTTCACTCCCTCTGAAGTAAGTGGCATAAAACGTGGTCAGAAGACAGGATACTGGGCTAGATGGACCATTGGACCAAACTACCAGAACAGCCACCTGACAGCTTCCATTACGATGCACCTTGGCTGAATTCAAACAACAGATTAGGAAGTCATCTTAACACTAGTGCCTTGAACCATCCAGTTTATACTATCTTTCAGCAATCTAAGAGTTTCTGGAGTCAGCTACTTTCAATGGCTAGGAGGCTGGATGTCTTGTATTTTTGTTTCTATGGCACACTTTTTTTTTTTTTTTTAAAAACACAAAGATCCTTGCTTCATATGCAGATTTAATGTGGCCAAAAACCTTTGTTAATTTTTTAAGTTACTCATCATAAAAGCACACCCCCCACCTTAGAATGCTACTGATGAGAGGGTCTTCATGCTTCTTCAGGGTGGTTGCACACATTTCTTGGTGGGAGCACATATCTTATGGCTTGCACCCAATTCCTTTATGGTGGTTGGAAAAGAGATATCTGATATTAACCGATCATCATATAAAGAGAGCCAAAAACTACCAGCTTTTCTATACTGTAAATTGATTTTACTAAATAAATCAAATAGTTCTCATGTATTTTTCATAACAACTTTTATATACAAAATACATAGAAGAATAAAGCTTTAAGTAGCAATTTTACAGACTGGGTCACCACAATCATTGTTTTGAATGTTCCTGGATATTCAATGTCAAGTTTACAAGTCTGTATATTCTGAAGAACTATTAAGATTATGCTAATATCCCCTTCTGACATCTTTTCACCTGTCTTATTCTTCAGTAGCTCTTACCCTTAATTCAAAATGTGTAGTGTAAATAGAACAAAATATATGTAGTTACTTGCATTGTGTTGTTTTGATTTAGGGACACTACCCTGCATTTCTGCAGACATTTACACTAGAAGTGCTACAGCAACGCAGCTGCACCTATGCAGCTGGTGAAGATGCTCTATATTGATGGGAGAGAGCTCGCCCGTCGGCATAATAAAACCACCTCCTCGAGAGGTGTAGCTATGTCGGTGGGAGAGTTACACGGTGCTGTCCATACCAGCACTTAGCTTGCCGTACCATACGTCAGTCATGGGCGGGGGGGTGGCTTGTTCACGCTCCTGAGTGACAAAATTTATACCAACATAAGTGGTAGTGTGTACAAGCCCCTTAGTAACTGACCATAAAGATGAATAACAAAGATTTATTTATGTGCTATCCTTGGTGTACTTGAGTATCTTTAATTAGGGAAAAGATGCACAAATTTAAATAAGGTATCTCCAAAACTGTGATGTGGTGCAAACTCTCAGGATTACACGCTTTCAGGATTTAATTAATCATAAAACAGTTGCAATATCTAGCTATTACATGTTTCTATTGAATACTGTACAGTAGGTACAGATTCAATTTGAGTCCATCTTTCCGGGGGGTAGGGTTGTTAATGTTCAACTTCTTGAATGCTTTTAAAAAATGTTTTTCTGGACTGTTTTAAAAGAAAATGTGCTAACATTACCACCATTTATTTAGCACTTCTTCGTTCAATTACCTGAACATACACAAATTTAATTAAAGCAAACAAGTGACAAAAGTTCAGACTGGGTCATATGACTGACCAAGTCTAAATCAGCAATTGCAGCGGATGGCCAAACAGTTCCTCCCCCTTCACCTGACCACCAATACCAGATTTTAACTTCGGAGCTTAATCTGTGTTTACAAACCCAGCCATTTAATTACATTTATTAGCAGAAATGAGGTTATAAAGAAGTCTATAGCAAGGTTTGTTTAGCCTAACCAAAAGAAGGCTGAGGGGAGATATGATTGCTCTCTTTAAATATATCAGAGGGATAAATACCAGGGAGGGAGAGGAATTATTTCAGCTCAGTACTAATGTGGACACAAGAACAAATGGATATAAACTGGCCGTGGGGAAGTTTAGGCTTGAAATTAGACGAAGGTTTCTAACCATCAGAGGGGTGAAATTTTGGAACAGCCTTCCGAGGGAAACGGTGGGGGCAAAAGACCTGTCTGGCTTCAAGATTAGGCTAGATAAGTTTATGGAGGGAATGGTTTGAGGGGATAACGTGATTTTAGTCAATTAGGCAATAACGTGCCATCGCTGGTAAAATGAGGGTCCGGCTGGAGAATCTTGCCTATATGCTTGGGGTTTTACTGATCGCCATATTTGGGGTCGGGAAGGAATTTTCCTCCAGGGTAGATTGGCAGAGGCCCTGGAGGTTTTTCGCCTTCCTCCGCAGCATGGGGCAGGGGTCGCAAGCTGGAGGATTCTCTGCGACTTGAAGTCTTTAAATCACGATCTAGAAACTTCAACAGCTGAGTTAAGGGAAAGTGGGTGGATCAGCTTATGTGGCCTGCATCATGCGGGAGGTCAGACTAGATGACCATAATGGTCCCTTCTGACGTTAAAGTCTATGAGTCTATAAGGTGATTACATTTTGAAATAAGCTTCTTTGACATTTACCAACTTTTCAAATAAAATATTACTTTCCCTTCCTCTCTTCTAATAAATCATTTTTATGTCCCTTATTTTTCATCATGCAGAAACCCTGTCACAGGATCCCATTCAATGATTAATCATGCTTATTTTGAGTACCACAAAACTGAGTTAAAGAAACCTGGGCTAGGATTGCTGCAGATTACAAAATATTAGGACGTTATACTTTTTCACAAGCCAAATATGTGAAAGGACTCCAAACTAACCCTTATTGATACATTTGCTCATTTCAAACTATGAAATATTCTCTCCTCCCCTTCTAGAAATCCGTGAAATAAAGTGGGAAACATATTCTCTTCAAAAGTGAATTTTAGATTCAGCATTAGAGTTCAGTTTCTAAATGATTATCAGTTGCATAAATATAAAAACACTTGATCAAGCAAAATATTTTTAATTAGTAAGCTGATCATAAATAAATCCATGTAAAAGAATTAACAGGATTACAAAGTTGGGTTTTTCCTATGTGATTCAGATTTCTTAATATGTATTATCTATCAGTCAACCTCATTTTAACTGGGCAAAATGATCTATTATTGAATATGCAACACTGCTGCACACTGCGCAATTCATTGTGTAGTTACATTTTTACATTTTCTTTACAAATGTAACACTTATGTACATTATATATTTTATTTCTACAATTCATGTACTGTATTGAAACTCTATAGTCCTCACAGGGAAAATGTTGAAGTCTTTTAGTGAATATGAATCATTCCTTTTAAAAAGTAATATAAACAAACACCATATAGTACTGCCCTTGGCACCTCTGCAAGAGTCTGACTCCAGAAAGGTTATCATAATAAATGTAAGAAAAAAGGTTTTATCTAATTTTACATATCATTAAGAAATATCATCCCACATAGCTACATAAATTCAACAGCTTGCAATAAACAGAGCACCATACTGCTGCACTACCGGAAACGTGTATAAACCAGTTAAAAATGTACTAGTGAAAGAGCATCATTACTCCTATCATTTTCAGGCTGAAGCAAATCCGTTAAATTCCTCCGTACGTGTATATTTTTCCTTTAGCTGCAAAGCTTCTGATACGGTGCTTTACACTGTTTATTGTGAAGAGCAAATGCCTGTTGCCATGTGCGTCTCTCACAGCTAACGTTTGTATTCAAAGTTGGGAATTTTCTTCTTCTTTCTTCCACTTTCACTTACAAATCTGCTGTTGAATATGAAGTAAGAATTCATAATAAGAGAATGCTGCCTCTGTCCGGTCTTCAACTAAGTGCTGGAAAAAATCTGTTTTGGCAGGACTCTCATCTCTGAAACATAAGAAAATGTATTAGTCATAGCACTAAACAAAACTATTGTAAAAACAAGTATAAGCAGGAAGTCCATACACTGCATATTGCTCTTGGAGATCTAGGATTCAGCAAAAAACGCCATTAAGTAGAGTTAAAAGGGAATTTTCCATTGAACGATTTTCTGATGAAAAATGCCCTTTTCACAAAAACCAAAATGTCCTGTAAGGAAATTTCAGTTTTGCCAAAGGGACAGTTCCTGGCTGCCCTCCTGGAAGGCTGCCAAGGCTGAGCACCCTGACTCTCCACCTCCCTTCCTCCTCAGGAGGGTTAGAGGCAGAGAATCAGAGCACTCAGCCTTCCCACCACCCTGGGCAAGAGAGATTGAGCACCCCCACTCTCTTCCTCTAGAAAAAGAGGAGGGATGGGGGAGAGGACGTTGAGTGGCTGCCAGAGCTTGTGAGTAACTGAGGGTATGTCTACACAGCATCTAGACACCCACAGTTGGTGTGTGCCAGCTGACTCAGGCTGTAGTCCAAGCTCTAGGACCCTGCGAGGTGGGAGGGTCCCAGAGCTCCAAAGCCCAGAAGTCTACACAGCAATGAAATAGCCCCACAGCCCGAGTCCCGGGAGCCTGAGTTGGCTGGCACAGGCCAAGTGCAGGTTTTTCTTTGCTGTGTAGACGTTACCTGAATAGTCCAGCTCTCTGCCTCTTCAGCAGCCAGGCTGGAAGGCCCTTGTCAATTTCACTTTTTGCCTGTGCTCAAATTTTCCGGTTTGCTGACCAAAATTGTTTTTTTCTTGAAAGTATCATGTTTTGACTTTGTAAAGTCCTGGACAAAAATATTTCAAAAACATGCATTTTTTCCATAGGGATTTTCTGGACAACTCTACTAATAAAGGTATCAGTTTTCCCCAGTAAAAAAAAATAAACTTCTTTCCTGTTATAAAAACAGGAGCTCTAAAATCTGGGTTAAAAAATAGGGAGAGGAAAAAAACATTAAAAATCTTTAGCCTTAAAAAACAAAACAAAGACTCAATAAGAAACAGTTAGGAAAAAAGGATTTTTGTGGAAGCAGGTGCCATGATTCTGTTGACAGCAACGGACTTTGCTCTGGTTAACTTTTAAACTTTTAATATAATTTTCAAGATTATAGTCACTGCTGACATATAATCCTCAATTTTTTCCTTCTGCAGGTGGAACAGAAAAAGGAGAGTGAAAGAGGCAATAAGGCCCCAATCCAGAAAACACTTTCAAACACTTTAAACATATCAACAGCATCCTTGAAGCTACTGCAAGCTAAAAGCTAAGCAAACTTTTTTGCAGAATCAGGGTCTTAGATTGGAAATTCACTGGGGCACAGGCTGTCTCCATCATTTGCACAGCACCTACTGTAATTATGCCCCAGTCCTTATTAAGGCCTCAGGATGCTACTGTAATCCAACAGCAGCAGCTAGGCTAAGAATTAAATACAGAATTTCAGCCCTAACTTTGAATTTCTTGTCTTTTATTAATTTGGGTGACAAAGATAATCTCTAGATAAATCAACTGAAATTACTGATAATCATTTCTTTAAATAGTTTTTGATGTATTCAATTTTTAAAGGTGTCAAAAATTTACCAAGATACAGATATTTCATTCTCAGTTAACCAAAAACATCTGAAAAGTAAGAAGTGAAAGGAAATGCTGACAGTTGAGCCAACAGTGCCACTCTAATTTACCTGAACCTCTTGCGCACATATAAAAAATAAGACCAATATTTGCTTCATGGACAACAGCCAGCAGCCAACATTCAATGTAATTTCTCTTAAAATCCTGTCAGACATGGTATATCAATCATTGTCAGAGATGAAAAATCTACTGACTGGATACAAGTATAAGCATTTTATGAGGTCTTGGTTTTTCAAGTAGGCAATAACTTGAAAAGAACAAGGACTTCAATAAAGTAATTCAATAGTATGTATAGCACTCTGATGAATTAGAATACAGGTCACATTTTATATTAAGGTTCCATTTTATAAATGGTTTATAAAGGATTAATAAATTATTAAATATTGTAAGCATGTTATAGACATTAGTAGCACATTAGTTATAGACATGGTGGTAGGCATACAAAGGTGTTCGAGATGGTTATAAACCTTGGTTTTCAGCTACTTATTGACCTGTCTGACTACATCTATAACAACCGATTAAGAAAGTATTAAAACATCCATTAATAATTTATTAACTCTATAAACCATTTATAAATGGAGCCTTAATATAAAATGAGACTGGAAATTGATTCAGTTACTTTAATTTATCATGGGGCACATATTGTTTAGTATTTTCATAATAGTAAAATATATTAATGTCTGAACTTTGACTTGACACTCTAAAATTAAATGAATTTAAATATTTTGTAAAGCAATCTCTGCAATTAAGATGTCTTTGATACCACTGGGCCTGATCTTGTGAGGTGCTCAACGTCTTCTAGGATGTGCTGAGTGCCTTTGCTTCCCACTTATTTCAATTAGAAGTTGAGGGCACTCAGTATCTCTCAGGATCAGGATTTGAGAGCTGCTATTATGGAATCTAATTCTGTTCCCCAGAAATGTATAAAAGATGAGATTACAGAAAGTTTAACTGTAAAAATACTTACTTTATCACTTGAAGAACTGGATTTAAAGGTCTACTGTCTCTAAGCCAGGATATAAAAGATCGGGCTCTCTCTGAAGAAAGTGTATCTAACTCTGGAAGTTGTGTCTGGTTGAAAAATGTAATTAGAAAAATAAAGTTTTATAATGCAAGGAAATATAACCCTAACAAATTAAAATAAATCATGCAGAAATAAATCAATGGTAGGCTGGAACAATTACTCTAAAAATAAATCCCATGTAAAGCTCCCCAACCGTGGATGACTGACAAATTAAACAGCCATTTTTTATACATTATGTTTCTAGGTACTGAATGGGTGTATATATATATATATAAAGAAACCAATTAGTAAAATAGGTACATGAATAAGAGTTAAAAATGGTTTGGGAGAAGATGGATGTCAGTCATGACATGATCCACAAGGGAAACAGTCCAATCTCATCCTACAAAATCATTTACTATGAATTGTATTACATATGCATTTTCTCTTTGATAAGCCTAAGTGCAAAGATTTCATCCTTAAATAAAATTAATCACTATATTTGAAGTACAAGACATTTTAGGAAACAGGCCTATAAAAATAACAGTATGTAGATAAATTCTGTCCTAACTGTATTCACAATTTACCTTCCCTTCCCTCCTCCACCTCCCCAAAATGCATTATTTTAACTTCTTCCCCACACAAAAGTTCCCGAGCACTGTCCTCAGGATTACTTTTACAGCCCTAAAGAGACCCACATACATACCACCACCACAAACTAGCCCTGAACAGCAACCCCCAAAGTTCAACACAAAGATTGGACTCGTCTATCTAATTGGCTGCACGATCATTGCTGAGCAGCGAAAGAAAGATGCTTCATTCTGCCTGAACTGATCATACTGCCTTTGAGGCTTGCTTAGTTTATGGGGCAATTAACATGGGATCAAAATTCATTTATCAGATTACAGTTTTAAAACTAATTACTGTCCTCTGTAGTAAATGGATAGAATGAATTATATTTTTAAAAGTTTCACTTACATTTCTGTAATGGCCAGTCATTCCCTATCATAAATTCATCACCCCTTTGCTTTTTCACTGAAAATAATAAAGCTATCTTTGCACCATCTATCTTCCTCTATTAAGATACTACTACCCTTTCTTCATTCAAATCCATCCTTAAAACCCCCTTCTACCTACAATTGCCAACTAATTATGGCTGAGTAGAGGGATAGTTAGGACTAGATTACACATGCAAAATAGATTTTAAAAACTTGGAACTAACATTGTTTTTGTGCTCAATTTCACTCTGACCACTCTGCTGCATGCTTCACTTCTCACCCCCCCCCCCCCAAACATCTGTTTTTTGTCCTTCATATTGTAATCTTTAGGGCAGGACCTGTTTTCCTGTGTGTTTCTACAGTATCTAACATTTAGTTCTACCTGAATACAATTCTGTTCAGATTTTTTTGTACAGTACAGTATCTTAATAAGGTCCCTCGGTCCTCAAAACAAAAAGCTGTCTTCTGACTTTTTGGAAATAAAATCTTAGTACTGTCTGAATCAAATACATTTAGGGGGAGATTTTCAAAAGCATCTCAGGGAATGTCAAGTCCCAGTGACTTTTAATAGTTGGCGTCCTTGTTACAATTGACCAAAGCTAGGAAAATTCAGTAAAGTTTAAATTCAACCCTTTATTCATTATCTGTTGTACTGTAGATCTTGTGAACTACACTGAGTTCACAGAATATCAACTCTCCAAACACCACTACCTCAAGAGGGTAAATTATGATTGGAAGAGTTCTGATATTAATTCTGGATTCCTTCATTTTTGACAGCTGAGTCAGAATCTCATGATTATTTTAATCTGCTTACATGAATCCCTTGGTATTTTTGTTTTTAGTGCTTTAGTTAAACTAATTTTACAATTTAAACAATTTTATGGTGCCCCACATTCTTTAAACATATGTTTAAAAGACTGGACAAAGCTGGCAAATGGGTATTAGCATTATGAATGTAATAAAATAAATCTAATTCAGTTTCATAATTTGATACAGCCAATACAAGGGAGAACGTAGATTACTTGCCAATGTATGTATTACATTCCATAGCTCATTAAAACACTTACCAGTTTCTGTGGTACAGATGCATAGTTAGGGTATCCGAGCACATCTTTTATGAAGCTATTATCACAGCTTTTCCCAATCCAAATGTAAAATATCTGTAAAGGACCAAAATCAATTTTAGCGAAGAAAATGCCTTGCATATATTTTAGAGTATTGAGTTTTCATGTTATATTTGTCTTGGAGTTTAGATTTAGAAATTAAATGAAATGTTTTAGTGATTTTGACTTGTTTTGGGGTTAAAATGTTTAGCACGATATTTTTCTGGTTTTGCGAGGTTTCATGTAAAATCTGATAACTTCATACAGAATTTGATAATTCTGCCAAGGAACTAAAGTTATCAGAATACATTTCTAATTCAAACGAGCTGATATTCAGCAATAGGAGCAGTTTCAATAAATGTTCTCCTACTGACAATGTTTCATACGGTTGCCTTATTAATCAATTGGCACCATCTACAGTTACATCATTAAATAGCATCTAAGAAACTACAGTAAGTACAAACACTTTTTGAAAACTTTTTTGAAATTAAAGAAGTATTCTCAAATTATTCAGATTAAGCAGGTCAATAGTTGTGACATTTGCAGGAAAATGCTACTTCATCAGTCATGCTGAACACTTTAAACGTACAGGGTTCAAATTTCTTCATTTCCAGATAACAAGACTAAAATATACTTTCTTATGGTACTTTAGTAGAAAACTATTTTCTTCAATTGTGTCTGTAGCCCTGCTTTCAATCACACAAGTATGAGCATACGTGATTTGCTAGATTGGGACTCTGGTGCATTCAGTTCAAAACAACAAACATCATTAAGGAAACAATTGAAAAAGAAAGCCTTAAGTTTCAGGAAGGACAATTTAAACTAACATTGATTGGTATACATGCAGAGTAATATGAAAAATTAACCTTTAAAACATTAATATCCATGCTTGTTTAAGAAATTTATCACAAAACTAGATATTTCAGTCATTTGCAAATTCAATGCTGACATTCAAGGTTCTCATTTGAGACATTAATTTAGAATCCTGGAATAACTAAGGTCGATTAACTACAGAGTATTGGTACGATGAGTTAGCTGCAATTAAAAGTCTGAAGTGAAACATATTTGTCTTATTCATATCAGATAAAAGCTACTGAAACAGGTAGCTTACTGATCCACAATCCATAAGAAAAGCTCCCTCTCTTGTCAGCTTCTCTGCAGACAACTTCTGAAGAGGAGGTTGAGGAACAACCCTGTCATTAACATGTATTGCACCCTGTAATAAAGAGTTACAGAAAACCTATTATATAAAACAGGACATATAATCAGCAGCATCAAGCGTAACTAGTTTTTGAGAAAATAGAAAAGAGACTTGTAAGTTTTCTAGTTATATCTTGCAGAGGGTCTCATTTAACAAAATGTCATATTTATCCTTATCTTAGGTCCTTCTAATGTGAATTACTAAAACTAATGATGATCTTTCTTCCATATAGATCTTTCTTCCATATAGATCAAAAGATGATTATGTAAGTGGTAATATAATTTATATGTTACAAATATACATATTACATTAAGGCCTGATCTACACTGGGAGGAAAGGGGGGATCGACCTAAGATACGCAACTTCAGCTATGAGAATAGCATAGCTGAAGTCAACGTATCTTAGTTCGACTTACCTCGCGTCCTCACGGCGCGGGGTCGATTGCCACAGCTCCCCCGTCGACTTTGCTTCCGTCTCTTGCCGAGCTGGAGTTCAGCAGTTGACGGGAGAGCGATCGGGGATCGATTTATCGCGTCTACACTACTCGCGATAAATCGATCCCCGATATATTGATTGCTACCCGCCGATCCGGCGGGTAGTGTAGACGTACCCTAAGTGGATTCTCATCCTGCAACTTCTAAACCTAAAAATAAGCCAAGAAACCTAACCTCTGATATCTAATGAAAATAAGTTACAAACAGCCACGGCAAAAGCGCCACAGATTGTCTGCCACCATCCTCCTATCTTACAGAAACATTATTAGAGCAGAACCATCTAAAATTCTACTCTACAGAAGTGTACTACATTGTCACTCCCAGATAGCAGAAATCCCCTTTTGGTCATAACCATGACTGGCATATAGGTTAAAGCAGCTAACAAGGCCCTCAGACAAATCTTGGGCGTTGGCTACACAGTTCTGAAAGGGCCTAATTGACCAAACTGTCCTGCATTTTCAATTTTTTTTGTTGCAGTTTCTGCTTTAAACAACAGGGAGGTTGTTTAAAAGCCTATCTGCAGCTGAGGAGGAATACAATTGCCAGGCCTACAAAAGTTGGATCACCTTGCCAGTGACTGTCTGCCCCAATGCTGAAGATCTATTTTAAGGACGCATGGACCTTTCTGCACAGAAGAATTTGGAAATTTACATACGTGATTACATGCCCACATCTGGACTGAATTATGATAACTATATTCAAAAAAATGTAGCATTGATTTTAAAAGTCCACAGAAATACAATACAACTCATTAGTGGTCTTGTGGGATTTGTACATAAAAAGAAAATGAGAATTATAGGATATAGCCTGGAAGAAGAAGAGCTAGAAGAGACTTCGCTGTACACAATTATGATGAGCAACAAGAAAGCTGATCCTTGAAACTCAAAGGAAATTTAAAACCAACTACAGGAAACACTGATTTAGGCAAAATGTAATCAACCTATGGTATTCATGGTTGTAGAGGTCATCAAGAAACAGTATGGGCACATTTTAAAAGTTACAGAATAACACTATTAACATGGTAGCTATGCAAGGCAAGACAATAAAGGAAACTAAATCTCGTTCTTCAGGGCCAAATCTGTGTTCATATATGCATGTGTCAATGGGCACAAGGACAAAATGTAATGCTTATAGCATAAGCTGATCTCTGCAAAGATCAGGAAAGATTTTTTTTCTCCAGCTTACAAGTTGACAAGGTGCATTATATTTATCTTGATCCTTGAACAACAGGCCTGTCCTGTTGTCAGTCCAAACTATCCGAAGTTTTTCCCTGCTCAAATGACTTTCTTAATGACCCATAAGTAGGAGCTGTGACATGTCATAAGTTATGAAAACATGATATCACTATAATGAACAAAGAAAAACTGGGATTAATTGGTTTGAAGAGGCCCTCTTTTTGGCTGTTTCTAATATAGCTCAACTCTGCAAGGTTTCCTTTAAAAAATGTTGTTAGGACAATAAGAATAAAAAAATAAACAAAGCAACTACTCGGTAAATATTTTGAACTGAGGAAATACCCTGGCAAACCCATGCTATGCAGAATGAAATATTTAAATTAACTTCTGCCAGTGAACAAAAATACCAGACTGTTTTAAAAATATAGTTCTGCAAGAGACAAGTGGGTTAAAATCCTTTGGCACTAGGAACTGGATTTTCCAATGAGATGTGCCGATGTGTTTCCATTAACACTAAGAGCTTAACATACAAATATGCTGACTATAGGTGTTTCAGTGTCAGTAGCAAAAGAAACAAAACTTGGATTGGCTTGCTTAAAGAAACTGTAAGACAGTTAATTGGGTGTGTGAAGTGCCAGAAACACCGATTAATTCATACACCAGAGTAAAGTAAATTTAGCTTCCTTAAAATCATTAATCAAACTTTGAAATAGCACTGGTCAAAACAGCTCGCAAGAAATTTGTCAGCTAAACTAGTCAGATTCAATGACCATATAAAAATAGTTACTATGTAATGCTCTTTAAAATACTTAAAGAATATTCCCAAACAAATAAAACTTTTAAACTAGAGTTAGGGATGTAAATTCATAAATGACAAACTTTTATTGTGGCATTAGTTATTAAAACGCAGACTTTATGGTTCTGCAAACATGGTTAACTTTCAGAGAGGTAGCCGTGTTAGTCTGGATCTGTAAAAAGCGACAAAGAGTCCTGTGGCACTTTATAGACTAACAGACGTATTGGAGCATAAGCTTTCGTGGGTGAATACCCACTTCGTCAGACGCATGCGTCAATACTTCTGCATGCCTTTGACGAAGTGGGTATTCACCCACGAAAGCTTATGCTCCAATACTTGTGTTAGTCTATAAGGTGCCACAGGACTCTTTGTCGCATGGTTAACTTTGATCCTGAGTAATGCCCATTCTATTAATTAAAAGCCCCATTACTTCCAATCACTATACCTCATCTACATTTTAACAGTCAGCAAAAAACCTTAATGTTTTTGTACATGTAGTTTTAAAAGAATCCCACTCACCTCACACCCAAACCACCAAGAAAAGACATACCAACATCCCACTTCATCCATACACAATGGAAAACCAGCTAAGTATTTATCATTCCACTCTGAGCCAAATAACTTCATCCACCTGTATATACAAATTAAAACTCCCCAGCATATCTACTTTATTCATCCTTCCCACACGGCTAGAAGAACTTAACCTCTAGTAACAGACCTAATGGATATTATCTGCTCTTCTTTATATAAATTGATGATGACAGAGTACCACAATCACTGAGACAAACCTTTGGAGGATATTTTTATCTATTGTATTTTACCATGGCAAGCACAGTAGAAGTAAATATTTAAAATTACACCCAAAACTTTTACAGGAACTGCTGGTGCAACACTACAGTAGGTTCAATAGATATTCTATTTTATTCAGAATTAAATAATTTATTCCATAAGAAATGGTTTTATACTGTACCTCATTGGTCAATCTATCTATCCTGTACAAGCTGGGATGTATCATTTTCATCAGATGAACAAGAGGCTGACTCTTTATCTGGCACATGGCATATATACGATCATCCAAGCGTGTGCTAGTGCCAGTTCTAAATGCTTTCTGTAAGAAAGTATGTTGACATTAGGCATCTTTTATATGTTTTGTATTGCTTTTAAACAAATCAGAGGTAAAATGTTGGTTTGGCACTGGCCAAAAAAAAAAAAAAAAATCCTGTTATGAATCTCTCAGATATACAGTTGGCAAAAACTTACTTAATTTTTCAAAACGAAATATTGGCATTAAAATATTCTAAAATATCCAACAAATCAAGTTTAACCTGAATGGCAAATTTGATGCATTTTAAATCCAATCATCTTTCCTCTGCTTATGAAGAGGATGACAACGACCAAAAGGAAGATTGTTTTCCCCATTTAGCATGATATGATATTTTGTTGCTTCCATCATTTTCCTTACCTTTATCCATGACAACTATTATGGTTGTGGAACTTATTGCCACAACATATCAATGAGGCTCAGATCTTAGTAGGAGTCAAAAAAAAGAATTAAATGTTTACTTGGATAACAAGATTATATCCAAATTTACAGTAGTAAAGATTAAAAAATAACCAAAAGTTTTGGAAGGGACATAAATCCTCATGTTTCTAGACACAAACCAGCCTCTACCAAATGGGGATTAGAAATACTTTCCTTGAGGACAGGTTAATCCATAAACTGTCTTCTGCACAATTTCTTGCAACTTTCTTTGAAGCAGTTGGCATTGGCCACTGTTAGAGACAGGACATTGGACTAAATGGAATGGTTTGATCCAGTAGGGCAATGCCCATGTTCAATCAGAAGTCTCTGTAACAATAGAGTCAGACCTTACTGGATCTGTATCTTTTCTGCTCCAACATGAATTTAAAGTAAAGTATTCTAATTCTTTGGTCTGTCATGTTTCTCAAATATTTCCACTGTCCTTTCTGTACCCCACTGGGCTTCTAAATGAGAAAGAAAATATTTTTCTGTTAATCTCCCCAGCTGCTGTTACTTTTAAAGCAATGTCATCTATGTGTCTTTGTGCTAAAATATCCAATTTTGTTGCTCTTGTTTGTTAAGTCTTCCAGGGTACCCTTAATCACTGTCCTATGTTGATCCTGGGCTATCTGTGAGCCTCAAAGTAGATAAAAGTTTATGAGCCTCTGATTTGAAGAAATTCCACTTTACTATTTAATTTTAATTTTAGACAGAGACCTTTTGTTTGGAAAATGTTGTACAGGCTATGCAAGCTTTAAATATGAACATCTTTCATCTTAAGCCAAGATCTGTTTTTGGGATCAGGGCCCGAGGAAAGTGCTCTTTCTACCTCCACCCTTTAAATAAGATTTTGCTTTTATTTTAAAATGAAAAACTTTCAAAAGTAAACATTTTAAAGTGTTTGTAAACCTAGTGCTATATTAAGCATTTCTTTGACGTGAAACCCTACTTAACAAATACATAGTGTTAACTTGCATCATCAGTTTCTCATTTAATCACACGCGAGACTGACATCTGATGTTACCCATTTCTCTTTAGAGATCTCAGGTATTGGTCACACATGTTTGAGAGTATTTAGTTTATTTGCTTGAAATTGAGAAAAAAGAAATAAATTGCTTCTAGACAGAATTTCAAGCAAGACTGATTCAATCCCAAATTTTAGAAATGTTAATGGTTACAACATTGATTTTCTAATTTTTGTTATGAAATGAAAGTGTAAACAAAATCGATATGAAGTTCACCGGACCCTCGCTAGAACACGCCTCTATATAGCACGAATTCGCATATAACGCGGTTGCGGCCATGGATCCCTGAAAATTTTAGTCAGGAACTGATGACATATCATTAGCTACATCTTTTTCATGCAAATGAACTCTTCAACAATTTATGTACAAGGATACTTTCTTCAAAAATAAAGTGGATAGCTCACAATAATTTAACAAAAGGGTCTACATCAAAAGGGGAAAGAAGCTAGACTATGAATCAATGTTTACAGCCTGCCTTAAAGCTGAAGACTTAAAGAAAAACACTGCTTTGTATTTGATGCCCAACACGAACAACACTATATTATAAAGTACCTGTTTGAGAAGAGCCAAAACATATAAAGGAAACAGTCTGAGGGAATTTGGTGCTATCAGTGAGGATTGCTGCAGGTTTGAGGCAGTTGAGATATATGCTGACAGTGAATCTACCACAGCATTCACTAAGGCATCTCTTGCATCTGAAAGACTTGATGAAACTGACCGATCCACAGCTGCAGAATTAAAAGGAGACAAATAAATAAAAGCCTTAATTGCTGAATCTTATTGGGGAAATAGAGAATAATTAAGAACAGAGCTATGGTGACCAGATGTCCTGATTTTATAGGGACAGTCCCGATATTTGAGGCGTTTTCTTATATAGAAGCCTATTACCCCCCACCCCCGTCCCGATTTTTCACACTTGCTGTCTGGTCACCCTACAGAGCAATTATTCCCCCGTTATGTGCCAGCTTTGACATTGTGATAAGAAAAAGAATATTGATTCAGAAGCAGTCAATAGAAAAAAAGAACACTCTGTGCTAAATGACAATGGTAAGGAAGTGGCAAACAGCTGATGGTCATTGCTTCTGGGTGAAAGGAAAAAATGAAGATGTCTGTCAAAAACAAAGGCATGACAACTGTTTTCTAATACACCATACATTAAGTTTCAAGCTTTGGAAGACTGCCATCGTAGGTCTCATTCCACTTTAAAAAGGGACTAATGCCAACTTCAGCAGAAGCTTCTCCCTTTATCCTCTGCAGTTTGGACCAAATGTCTTTGAATGAGAAATCTGAGAAATGTTTATCTTTTCTGTTTATTTTTAAAGGCTATCTGCACTTCAAATGCTCCTCGATATTCCCATTTACTGCATATTACAGGTTTCAATTTTTAGTCACATTTTGTACTCAGAAATCTTTCATAATTCTAAAAATCAAATTACACAACCAGAAAGAGTTTTAGGATCCTTATGACTCAGAGCCCTTAGCCTCCTAAGGGCCTGTCTACACTTAAAATGCAAAAGCAGTCCAGCTGTGCCAGAAAAGGCCAGACAGAGGCGCAAACTGGAGAACAGGGAGGGGAGGGGCTGTGAGGGAGGATTAGGGAGAATAGGAGGGAGAAGCAGATCGCAATGCCTGGAGTGGGGAGCTGAGTCTAGTTAGCCCACAGTACAGGGAGTTTTGTAGGTCAAGGCAAAACATGGGACTATTGGGAGGTCTGCTTTTGTAGTAAGAGAAATGTTGATCTGTTTTGCTGAAGCAGCTAGAGTTAAACTTTTCCTTGATTGCAATGCCAGGGCCGTAAATATGTTTTGGTTGTAGGAAGCCATCTACAGACTGAATGTGAATTTAGCATCTATAAAAGTGAAATGCTATTAGCTTCTCCCAATACAATTTGTTTAGTAGACCATTAGTATGAAACACAGTACATACTACAGCAGGGTAATCAATAGACCAGGGGTCGGCAACCTTTCAGAAGTGGTGTGCCAAGTCTTCATTTATTCACTGTAATTTAAGGTTTCACATGCCAGTAATACATTTTAACGTTTTTAGAAGGTCTCTCTCTATAAGTCTATATTATATATATATATATATTGTTGTATGTAAAGTAAATAAGGTTTTTACAATGTTTAAGAAGCTTCATTTAAAATTAAATTAAAATGCAGATCTTAACAGTTTAGTGTGATCCTTGCCCTTGCTTTTCCTTGCTGAGTTTTCCAATGTCTGGCACGTATTTGGATACTTTAAGCTGCACACAGGCTTCTGAATGATCAGTTGTTAACCTCTCCGAACACTGGTGGAGCTGGGCCCCCAGGCCCTGAATATTCCTGGAGCCCGGGCACCATGGGCCCATACAACTCACTGCCCCTGCCTTCCTCTGCTACAGGGTTCCTGTGTGACCTTGGGCCAGTCACTCAGCCTGTTTAGATATGTCTGCGCTGCTATAAATGGCCAGCAGCTGGCTCTAGCTTGCAGGGCTGAAAAGAATGATGTAGATGCTCAGGCTCTGAGATCCCAGAAAAGGTCTCGCAGCATCTACATTGCTAATTTTAGCCCTGCAAGCCTCAGTCAGCTGACTCAGGCTGAGACTTGGTGCAGTGAGTTTTTTTTATCATAGTGTAGATGTCTCCTTTGTGCCTTAGTTTTCCCTCTGTACAATGGGAACAACTGCCCTGCCCCATATGGCTGCTGGGAGGGTAAGTGTCTTAAAAATAGTGAATTGCTCAGCTACTGCAGTGATGGGGGCCAGATAAGCCAGAGAGTCCAGGGCCGGAGAGGACCACCAGCTTATTTAGCCTCGTCTCCTGCATGTCATAAGTCATCAGCAACTGAAATTAGACCAGGTGTTACAGCCAAAGCTACAAGACTGCACAGTGCACTGCAAAAAACAGAAAGACATTTACAGATGGAACCCCAGGCCGGCAGCAGAGTGCCACTGAAAATCAGCTCACATGCTGCCTTTGGCATGCGTGCCATAGGTTGCTGACCCCTGCAATAGATGGACTGTGGCCAAATCTGAACTGCCACACACTTTTGAACAGACCCCAAAATCTATTTACTTACTACTATTGTTATTTTTTTAAATGATTTTCCCTGGAGTCTGGACCTTGACAAGAAATGTGGACCTCGACAAAAAAAATAACTGACTACCTCTATACTACAGGGTCACACTTTGTTTCTTCTGTAGGCCAAGCTATACACCCCGCAGTGAGAGAGAGCAGCATATGAAGCTGCTGCCTGCAATGTGTAGACAGCAGCATGGGATGCCTTCAGCAATTTGGTATAGTGAGGGACCATGAGAACTGGAGGGAAGCAGAGAGTGAGTTATGGGGCTTATGGATACCTCTCCAGCCCTTGCACTAAGAGCTCCCTTGTTCTTCACACTTCAGAAACTGAACCTGGGCTCCCTCCTCCACTCCCCACCCCTTTCTGGATCCCTGCTTCCCCCATCATCACTTCATCCTTCCAGCTGCTTCTGCCTCCCTCTCTGGATCCCCACTTTCTGTTCAGCATGCCACACAATAGCCCTCTCTCTAGGGCTCTCATTTCTGTTAGACTAGGTCTACAATAGCAACCCTTCACCCATATAGGAATACCAGTATGCTATACTGGCAAAACACACCTAGGGTGGACGCAGCTATACCAGCTTTGTACCAGTATAATAAAGTCACTCCCTGAAAGGAACAAAAAAAGCTATACTGGTAAAAGTGCAGTTTTGCTGGTATAGCTGTGTCCACACTAGGGGCTTCTGCTGCACACTTATTTGCACTCCTGACCAACAGAACTATAGACTAGCAGAAGTCAGTAGTATAGACGTGGCACTAGCCTAGACTCCAGGATACAGTCAATCTCCCCAGACAGCAAGTTATGCTGCTGCTGCTGATATCTATGGACAGCAGCACCAGAGATCTCCGGGCACCAGAGATCACCATCAGTCTGCTACACAAGGCAATCTGGGGGCCACAGTTTTTCTCTGAATCAAGTTTTTTCCAATTTTCACCAATAAGGTTCTACCCACTGATGCCTAGAACATTCCCTGACATTTTGGAAGTGACTAAATAGTTATGTTACATACAGACAGACAGACAAATAGCAGGAGGGTGAACATAAGCCAGAAAGCATTAGTTATCCAACATCACCCTGGCAAAGTGAAGACACCATAATAAATCTACAATACATTATGTAACAATAATAAAACTATAACATAATTATAATATACGTATCATTAAAGGCTAGGGCCTGATTTTCAGAAACACTGAACACCCACAACTCCAAATGAAGTAAATGGGAAGAGATTCTCACTTTCATTCCTCAGGAAAAATGTGTGCAGCCTACCAAAGTCACTGAACATTCTAATGACAGCAGACACTCTGCTGGGAATGCCTGGGAGCTGCCAGTGCAGATGTGGTGGAAGACGGAGAGAGAACCAGGCTGGGCTTCCTACAGTGAAAACTCCTCCTCTTTTCTTGGACCCAGCGTATGGGCCCAGCCCCACAGGGCACCATACAAAGCCAGAGCTACCCCAGTTGCCAAGGGGAGGAACAGTCAAGTCAGTCTCCCCCTAACCCTGCTCCTGGGGTACCACATGGGCAAGAGCCTCCCACTTCCACAGATAAGGAAGAGAATACCAAATTGGGCTGCTCCTTACTGCCCTCTGGACCCAGCATATGGACCCAGCAACCAACCCTCCATTGGGATAACAGCCTTCTTCTGCTGTCAGCTCACGTAGTTAATCTGTAAGTCAAGCAGCAATGCTAAAGGTTCAGGGTACAAGCCCTGATGATGACAATATTACCGCCGTACAAAACATACATAACAAAATTGGTTTTTACCTTTGTCCTTGAAAACACTAGGAAGCTACATTAAAAGAACATTTTGCTGAAGGACTCAAAAATAAGGACATGTCAGATGTACAGCTAGCTATGCATCCTTAATTTGATTCTCTGGTATGTATGCGTTATTATCTCATACTATTTCTTCCTCACGCATCCCTGCCTCACTCAGTGCACAGTTTGGATGTACACTGGGCCAAATTAAGGTTGCGCGGGAATACATAAATCTGGCAATTCTTAACTGATGTTATTTTAATGTAGTTTTTTATGTAGTATGCTAGGGTGTCGCACACTTCGTAGCTTCTGTAAACTACATTCCACCCACTAGCGCTGTTGCCATCCTCCCGTCCCCTCCTTTCAGGGACTCCCTGGAAATCCACCCAATCTCCCCTTTGCCAGGGGTTCTGTGCGCCCCCTCCTTATATACCAGGGTCCGTATTCTCACCCCAGGACAGGGGCTCATGCACTCCCTATTGCCCCCATTCCAAGGTCCTCCATTCTCCTGCAATGGCTGCGGCTCTGTGTAAGCCCCAATTTCCCTCTTTCTCACCCACCCACCACAAACAAGCATCCCCCCCGCCAGACATTCTATGTGCACCCCACTCCCTTCAGCCCTTGACCAAGGTCTCCTATTCTGCCCCTACTCCCACCATCCCCCCAATGCTAAGGGCTCTGTGCCCTCCCTCATCACCCCATAACAGGGTCCACCCCAATTCCCCTCCCTCATGCCAGGGGATATGTGCACACCCCCATTCCATCCGTGCTTGTTCCTCTCCCCACTTATTATTTGTTCGGGATACAAGTCATTTAGAGTGTCAACATATTGAACTCTTTTGGGAAGATGAACAGAGATGAGATCAGAATACTGTTATGCAGGAAGGTGTTAGGGCTACTATCAACCAGTTTGATCTAGACAATTGCAGAGGTGTTTGAAACTCTAGCTGTGCTAAACAGATGGCAAGGGCTCCATGCGTCATCCTTTTCTCCCAAAATCGGTTCTGGCTACCGATGCCTAAAACATTCCCTAGAATATGAGAATTGATCAGATGCAGCATTCAAAAGTTATTGTGTTACATATGAACACAGATGTGCCATCAAGTTGTGCATAAGGGGCCTTTGCAAACCTGGCCAATTACATATTTGATCACCTATTGCCATACTCACCCATGTTTGCTAAGAGGCAGACAGCTGCTTGTACATCTGCTCCTGCATACACATCAGCCAGTGAAGTGACGACGGGCAAGCAAAGTGTGTGCACTCGAATTCTCCGTTCACCTATACCAAAATGATGAATAAATTAATAATGCAATATCCACAGATAGGAAAGAGGCAATTGATATTGTTTACTGCATTCCTTCTCTCATCCCAGACTCCTTTGCTCCACTGGTGGCATCAGTCCTGATGCCCACAATTGTTCTTTCTCCCATCCCATCTATGAAATCTTTTACATGCTGTCTACTATGCATGAAATCTCCTAATCCGACTTCATAAAACTACCACCATCTTTACATTCAAATCCTCCCTAGAAAACTTACTTTCATAATGCAATGTCAAAGTTGAGCTCATAACTATTTCTGGTAAATAACTTTGGTTTATAAACTAGATCTTCCAGAGGTGCCTATGTATATTCCCACTCCTGGAATCCAAGATGCCTGCACCACAAGGTTTTGGAACCTTCAGAAAACTTTGCTCTTTAGGTCTTCACAAGCAATTTACATTCACACCGGTCCTTTGGATCTCATCAATGGTAATATACAGAGGCTCCCGAAGAAGAGATTTAGGACACACTCCAGAGGAAGGAGCAACTTATTTTCTCTATATCTGTCTTTTAAACCATACGGTCTTTGTGGCAGGGACAGATTCTGCCACCTGTACTCAAATTTAGTACCCAATTCCACAAGAAGCTCAACTGACTTCAATGGGCCTATTCACAGAGTAAAAATGCCAGTATTCAGCTCTTGGTGAACTATACAGTGGCAGGCACATTATTGGTGATAAATAATAATAATATAATTGTAAATTAATTTTCACTTCCTGAGATTAAATTTTGTTTTACCTGAATTAGATTTAATATGGAAAATTTTTTTTAATTTGCAACAAAGTTTACAGCCTCTGATCCTGGAAAGACTTATATGTGTGCTTAACTGTACATGCTGAAGTAGTACCACTGACTTCAACAGGGAGTTGAAGTGCATAAAGTTAAGCATGTGTGTGAGACTTTGCAGGATTGGTTCCTATATGAGTACAGATCTATTAAGACATTTCAAGCTTAGCATAAAAATGTCAAAAGTATTAATTAGGCTGTCTTGGTCAGGACCAGCTCCAGCTTTTTTGCTGCCCCAAGCGGCAAAGGGGGAAAAAAAAAAAAAAAAAAAAAGGAAAACCCAATTGAGCGGCCGCCGAAGTGCCACCGAAGAGGAAGAGGGAGTGCCGCCGCAGACCCGGATGTGCTGCCCCAACAACGGACGGAATGCCGCCCCTTTCTATAGGCCACCCCAGCCACCTGCTTCCTTCGCTGGTGCCAGCCCTGGTAGTAAGACAATGCACTGTCATGAGCAAGAAAGAAATCTGTACTCAATTTGATGGTTCCATTAAGAACATGACCAATTGGCCTCTGCATGAATCATTAACTAGCAAGAGCATTTATTTCAGTGCAAGATGAACTGCCTTAAAACAGAAAATAAATCGCAACAAGACAAGAAAGAGAAATCAAGAAATAATGGGAGGGAAGATACCTAAGAGGTCACAGAATTAAGTATAGAAATAAATACTGCTGCTTCAAAAATATCAGCTGGATTTATTTTGAGGAGAAATAAGGCAATAAATTGTTGGTTGTTTTCCAGTTACCTTTGCTGGAAGTATACAAAAGAGCAGTCTGAAAACACACCAGAGATGTATCTGTTAGACTTTCCTCAATGGACATCTGTACTGCAAATCCAGCATCAGGATTGACATTGGCAAGTGACAGCAAGTCAGTAGATCGCACAAAAAAATTTCCATGGAAAGTATGTATTGAAAGACCTAGAAGCAGATGAAATAATTTAAAATATGGATAGCAGCAACATGAAAAACCTAACTTCCATAATTAGATCTTTTTAAAAACCAAAAGTCTCCAATTTTATTTCAAAAAGGGTAATGAAAGTTAATTTTTCTAAATACTAATGCAAATTCATCAATGACTGCATAACTACAGTATATAATGGTAAGAAACTTAAGGATAATCTCATAAAATTCATGTTTACATCCATTTTTGAGTACTCTTTATAAACAAACTACTGCCCTGACCTCAAACATTTAAACTTGAAGTGATGGACTATAAGAAAAAAATTAGACTCTAATCTCGCAAATGATTAACTTCAAGCAGCTCATGGAACTATTCTCATGCTTGAAGTTAATCACATAAGTGGATGCTGCAGCAAGACCTAAGTCTGTATATTTACTTTTTGTATTAACATTTGCTCTAACTTTCTACTACATGCCTTCTCCAAAATATAACTTGTTGCAGTATCCCCACCTTGCTTTTGTTTTTTCTTTTCTAAAGGTTCTTTGACGCTCCCTCCCTATTCCTGTCCCACCTCCTCCTAGCCGTGCCAAAGCTTCTGGAAAAGTTGAGGGTGGATGAGTGAGCATCTCCCTAGAATTGATTTGTGATGGAGCTCCACTCCTAAGGAGATAGCTCAGAGCTGGCAGAAGAACCACTTTAGATGCTCAGTCTAAGAGGTGACACTGTATGGAAAGGTACAGAAGATGATGGTCAAAACCAAAACGGATGCTGCCAGACATTTAAAAAAATGCATAGATCAGTGTCCACAAGAATCAAGTCACAAGTAACGCCAATTTGGTCAGAGAAAATTACAATCAGAGTTATAAATGCAATTAACACTTCAAGCAAAGACAAATACCACCAGTGAAATAAATAACAGGAGATTATTTTTGGCCGTAAAGGCTGATGCATACTTTGACTATGCTAAGATGTTGAACTTACAAGTCTGTATAGCTAAAGAAGAAATCATAAGACCCGCTTCTTATAAAACTGTGCACCATGTCTCTCGTCATTTAATTTTAAAAAGGGATGGTCTAGGTATATTAGAGACTAGCACTCAATTAATGAATTAAATGTGTCTGCACATACTAAGTACCAGAACTATTAGAATATTTTTTTTACACTGCGTAAGCAAAAATATTGTATAAGTTTTGCTGTTCTCCTGCTTTTACAGTTAATTAGTAATGAAATCTGACTGAAGCAGAGCAAGAAGAAAGGAATGTATATCACAGCAATAAACTACTTACCATGCATTTAGAAACCAGTCACTTATGAGAATCATTCAAAAACAGGACATACATCACCAAGTTCAGTAAAATAAATTACATAAAATCAAAGTGTTCCTAATTTTAACACACTGGAATTTAACATTAGTTACAAATGTTCACTGAGCATTTTGTAAATTTCTACAGAATCACACAGTAGTTTTGAACCTTCATTCTAACTACTACTCCACAGATATAAACCATGATATAGCAGATCATTTTGAATTATAGGACATAGTATATAATGTACTCAACTGATGCATAAATAGGTCAATTAGGGCAGTGGAGAGTCTCATTTACATAACAAGTGAGCCTCCGCAGAACATCACTTCCATAATTTTTTAAGTTAGAAAAACATCAGAGTTAAGTCATTGCATTCATTTAACAACATAGACAAATGGCTATGCCTTGGGACGGCATTACTAATTCCAGACAAATTAAGGAGCCTAACCTCATAGTCTCTAAAGGTTACAGTTTTAAACCTATATATTCAGAATATTAGACACTTTGCATAGTAATGGGTAGGCAAAGTGGGATTTAATTTCTTCTTGACTCATGTAGATGATTCCGATGCCCTAATTAAACTTTTGATGGCACTAACAAGTTAGTTAATTTATCGAAGGCTGTACCTGTCCTAGTTAGACAACAGAAATGTTACATTTAGTTGCACATCCTGTGCACCACCACATTTTTGATTAAGCAGGATGAACTGTACTTTTCATATCAATTATCAACATATGGGCTGGAGAATTCAACTGTATACAATACCTAGAAAGAGATTAAAATTAATGTACCTTTCGTTTTAAGTTATGAACAAGTGTGACATTAGGAATCAATGGCCAATTTTTGCAAGCAAAATTTCTCCATTCAGAGCATCTCAAACGTATTCAATTGACACTTTAGGCAAAATTCACCCCAGCGTGAAAGGCTCATGCAAGGTTATCAATAATATTTAAGATTTGTGATAGGCAACAAGGGTTGTGAAGGCATCAGCTGCATCAGAGGAAGAGGACAGGGCTGTTCATCCCTGAATGCAATGCAAGGTAGATTTTATTTTGGTTCAAATAACCCAGAGCAAAAGGCGGTGATGGGACAGGAGAAACCATCGGATCTATAATTCATCATGTTATCTTAAAAAAACTTCTTCCATAGTACTGATGGTGGACAGCAAAACCTTTAGCAACTTTTTAGTGATAATATAAACATTGACCGGAAGAAAGCTGTACTTTTTTCTCAGATACAACTTCTCTTGCCTGGGAAACCTGAGGCCTAAGATTTTGGTTGTTCCAGTAGAATTACCTAATATGTGTAAAACTTATCATTTGAGTATGCTGTGCAGAAAGTTATAGTAGCTACTGTAAGTTTCTTCCTAGCAAATTGCAATGTAGACACAGCGGATCATGTCTGAGGTATTGCATTCAAACAGGATTTTCCTTCTGATTTTTTTTCAGGGCATGAAAAAGGTCTTAAATGTGAGCCACTATTCTAGCTGATATAAAACAAGAAAATGCATAGGTTATATATTTTATCCTAAGGTTTTTAAAGAGAGCCAAAGTACAAATGCTTAATGATGTACGTACTGTATTTAAAAATAGTAAAAAGCTGGCAGCTCACACACCAGTGTTCTCAAATGAGCCTTTTAAAAAGTGAAATACATTTTGCCTCACTTTACCTCAATTATCTACTGCAGGCAATCCCTAGCTTAATATATAATCTGAAACGTCTTGTAAAAACAATTCCAAGATGTAAGCCATACCTTTTGTACATCTTATTCTCATGACTGCCTCAAATCCAATCTTCCTTGTAAGGTATCTTTTAAGGTCTTTTTGCAGTTTTTCTGCTTGAGCAGGATTGTGGCTATGATGGAAAGATGGATAATAATAGATGCATCCAGCAGAATACTTGGACATACAAGCTTTTGAGGAGAAAGAGAAATGGTTAATATTTATATATGAATAGGTGTAATACAATTGATTTATAAGTTGATTTTTGTTTTTTAAAGAAATATAATCGTTTAGCACATGAAGGAAAAAAATTAAACTGGAATTTAAGCCTTAAGTAGCTAGTCCATAGGGTTTTTGAAGAGCAAGTAAAGGGTGCTATAATGGAGAAGGGGCTTACAACCACTAGTCACCTGGTTAGGTTAGGACACCTGAACAGAGTAAGGCCTGTTCCAATTTGCTGGAATCCCTATTATATTTTCCTGATTTGAACCATCTCTGTTACTGCCAGTTCCCAACTTCTTACTCAGGCCAAGAACCAGGAAGGGGACAGTGAGTCATCTTAGCCACTATACATACATACATACATACATACACACACACACACAGTCTCTCTCTCTCTCTCTCTCTATATATATATATATACACACACACACACACACACACACACACAAGTAAATAAGCATTTTAATGTTGTACAGTTCACAATGTGGCATGCAATATTCATGTAGACATAACTGATTTCAGGTGTGCAGTAGTAACATGTTTTGGTTTAACATTTAGGAAACTAGATGAGAATACTTTTCTTCCATGTTCTACACTGATCATTAATAAACTTGTCTTCAGTTACTCTCTCTCTCATTCCTCTAGTTGTTTTCTTTTCTGAACATAACAAGACTATCTTCTATCTCCTGCAATGGCAGAGCACCAGAATATAAGCTGACTCTCACACCACTAGCCTGCCCTCTTTGTTCTTTCCTATTGGTTTCCATGTCAGTTCCTCCACAGCAGAAGAGGAATATTTAGGGAAGTGCTAAAATACCCATGTACACAATTTAAGGGCTCCTGAAGGAGTTTTGATTTTAATGTGAGTTTAAAGCACAAATTGTGGAAGCAAGTAAAAAGACAAATTAGCATTTCTTACCTAGAGAAGCCAGGTCAGAATACTGAGAACTTAAGAGGAACAAATCCACAGCCGTTTGCTGTCCTGAACAGTCCAGTGCCAACTTTTTGTAAAAATCTGTCGCTGGGCCAAGATGCTGTACAACCTTTAGTAAAAGAAATTATACAGCAAAGAGTACAAGTTGGGAGCATACTACCATGGGCACAATAAATGTGTTATTACATAGAAACAGTATAAAAGATAAAAGTACAATATTTAGTATTTTCTTATAATAATCATTTGTAGTTGCTTACTAACTTTTGTAGAAAAGTATTTTTTTTTTTTCCTACTCTGCACCTCCTGTTAGTTTACATGCATAATCTTCCTTTCAGGAAAACATATGTTCAAATACAAATAAATGTTCTAACAATGTGCTGTTTAAACTACAGCACACTCATGGGATTTCTAAAATAAAGTGACAAAATATTAAGATAAGAACTGATGTTTCAGAATCCTTGCTGGTTTGGCAAAGATGTCCACTGTGGTTCAAATGAAATGAAATCATAGACTATCAAGGTTTGAAGGGACCTCAGGAGATCATCTAGTCCAACCCCCTGCTCAAAGCAGGACCAATCCCCAGACAGATTTTTGCCCCAGATCCCTAAATGGCCCCCTCAAGGATTGAACTCACAACCCTGGGTTTAGCAGGCCAATGCTCAAGCCACTGAGCTATCCCTCCCCCTAAGCCCCTGTCTGATGGAGACAGTTAAAATAAAAAGCACTTGTGGTATTATTCTTTCAGCACTGTTTGACTATCAGTTTGACTCTGGACTAAGGAAGATGGAACAATCTGCTCACTTGCCTCAAAGACAGAGGAATAGTGCATAAAATGTTTGTAATTAAATTCTTATTAGACTAACAGATGTGCTGAAGAGATATTTAAAAACTAGCAAGCTGCAACAGTAAACAAACACAAAAGGTGGCTTGTAAAACTAGATTAGAAAATCACTGCAAGTTTTTAGTTTCAATAATAATAAATGATCCATCGAAAAAAGTTAATAGTACCTTTGTGCTTGATCTTTGATTGGGATCTTCTCTGGAATGCAAGAGCCCTGCACCCAAGGATGGTAACTGTGACTGAAACACAGATATGCGGCCACCTGTTGGAGACATCAATTTAAAGGCAGCCTGAAGTGCAGGACCCAATGCGCTGTGTGTTTCTCTTGTATTGATGAACATAGTTGGTAGTGCATTCAATAAATCTTTTATCAGCTGCAAAACAGATTGAAAGGTATTATTGACAAAATAGGGATGTAATTTCTCAGAAGCTATACTGGCATGGCATGAGCACCTGGTGCTGAATATTTCAGCTTATCTTAAACACATATTGTATGGAAAATGTAGTTTTTTAAATGGAATAATAAAATAGCAAAACAGGATTTCAACTGTACACTACAATACTATCATGAATTCCAGCAAAATTAAAATGTTGGATTTAAGCATATATAGAGGATATAGACTTGAAATCAATGGAATTTAAACTGCAGACTACATAAATATATTTTTAAAATGTTTATTTTAGCCATGAAATGTAATAGTACTTTTTTGATCAATCATACCTCTTTGCTTTCATGAAGATTTACAAGTAAGCTGTCAGGTGTAGGTAAGAAAACATCTATGGAGGGAAAAATACAAATTTCATTAAAGAATAAAAATACATTACAAACACCACAAAATACTAACTCTGTGGCACTGTAAAAAAAAAAAAAAAAAAAAGGATTGAATAAACCTTGTTTTTTTCCCCGGTTGTATATACAAAATGTATTTTATACAAAGACTGCTTTGTATCAGTGCCAGTATCATTAACATCAGAGTTTCATTTTTCAGATCCAAGCATTTTGCAATTTATTTTCGAAGTAAACTTATTTTAACTGATCACTATAATACGCTGCTATGCATATTCATCATATTTAAGCAGATTTTAATCTGTCCTTAAAAATGTGAAATAAAAACTCTTGAATATTTTTGATTCCTTTTCTTCTTGTTACTTACCATCAATATCTGAGACAATCAGCATTTGAGGCTGTGATAAACCTTCCTGCAAGTTGTAGAACTGAACAGTGCTGTCAAATGTTATGAATCCTATTCTTGTTCTCGAATCTCCAGGCAGCCTTAAGATTTAAAAAAAAAAAATTAAAGACAAAGCCAAAAATCCAGATTCTCAGATACACATCTGCAGCTTCCACTTATGTTAAAGGAAACCATGCTTGTGTATTTGAGACAAAACTGGGCCCTAATTGCTTAGGCCAGGTCTATAGTAGAAAGTATACTGGCATAGATGTGTCAGTTAGATGTATGAAAAGGTCACATCTCTAACTGACGTGGTATGCCAGGTACAGCCCTAGTGTAGATGCAATTATGATGGCCAGTATAGCTTATTCCATTTGGGGAAGTGGGCTAAGCTATACTGGCAACAGAATTCTTTTCTGGCAGAAGCTGCATCTCCATTAGGAGAGTTTGCCAGTATAGCTAGACACAAGGTCTTAGTGTCATAGTTCATTTTTCTAAATGTAGTTAAAAATACTTTTAGCATGAATAACCTAAGACAGAATGAATTTACTTATTTTAGACAGTTATGAGAGGAGGTTACTTACCTATCACTGGAGGTTCTTCGAGATGTGTGGTCCTTATCTGTTTTCCACTGAGGGTTTACGCATGCGCACCATGTGTCCTGAGATGGAGAATTTGAAAGTAATAGTGTGTGTTGGTCCACGCATGTGCCCTTGCCTCATGGTTTCGGACGGGGTGATAAACGGTGGGGCAGACTGACCGTGTATCCAGTTCCTACTCCACTGCAAATCGCACAGATCCACAGCAGAGGGGAAGCAGGGTGGGAAGTGGAATACAGATAGGGACCACATATCTCGAGGAACCTCCAGTTACAGGTAAGTAACCTACTCTTCAAGTGATGGTTCCTACTGTATTCCACTGAGGATGATTAACAAGCAGTACTTAAGTCGTAGGAGGCTGCGAGGACATCCATGCCGAATGAGACATCCATCCAGAGTCCTACACCGAGGCATAATGCATAGCGAAGGTATGTACTGAACTCCACATGGCCGCTCTACATATGTCTTGAAAGTGGCACATCATGGAGGATGGCCATTGTTGAAGCCTGGGCTCTCGTGGAAGGGGTGCTGATCCCATCCTGTGGAGGCTGGATGGATGTCTATGTGATATGTCCTGCATATCGAGAGCTGTAAACTACATGCTTTCTCCATGCAAAACTTGGGTTTTGAAGTAAGTTGAATAGAACCCCATTCCTTGACAGTCCAGAGGAATCCGCTCTATTACACCTCTTGGTAGTAGGGAGTCCACCTCTAGGGCAAGGATGCTGTCAGGGGAGTGGTCCCTGAGGAGGATGAGGTAGCATGATGAACTCAATTGTATGGTCATAGTGGATGACATTTAGTGCTCACTTGTCTGTTGTTATTGCACTCCAACCTAGTAAGAAGAGTGCTACATGACCCCTGAAAGAGGTGGGGTGGTTGTATGGTAGCAGACGAGGTGGTTGGCAGCTCTCTAATGTTCCTCAAATATCTTTTTCTGAGAGGGTTGCATGTGTGATGAGGAAGGCTGTGAAGGTGGATCAGGAGGATGAGACTGTTGAGTCTTCTGGTGCTTGCATGGTGGTTTGTAAGGTCTCTGGTGGAAAATCTGGGAAGTCCTGTACCATTGTGAAGGTGGTAGAATTTACACTTGGGCACAGGTGGGTAGATACTCAGCGAACTATGTGTGGCGGAGATCGTCCGTTTTCTGATTAAATCGATGGGATCCATCAAAAGGGAGGTCCTCAATAATATTTTGTACCTCCCTGGGAAAAACCTAGGAATGAAATCAGGATTCCCTCCTCATGACAATGCCCATAGTCATCAAGTATGTTGAAGTATCTGCTGTGTTTATAACTGATTGACACGCTGTCCTTGCCACCAGTTTGCCTTCCTCCAAGATTGACTGGAACCAGGCCCAATCTTGTTGCAGCAGTTTTTCAGCAAAATCCCCGTTTGCTGTAGTTCAGGAAGTCTTATTTGGCAAGCAATGCTTGATAATTTGAAATCCTGAACTGAAGGTTAGCTGAGGAGACAACCTTGCATCCCAGAAGTTCCAACCATTTGCTCTCCTTATCAGTCGGAGTGAAGCATGGGTGCTGCTGTCTGGACTGCTCCGTTATGGCCTGTACCATAAGGGAATGCGAGGGCGGGGTGGTGGTGGTGAGAAAAGTAACTCAGACCCCTTAGCCAGTACAAACACAGTACAAACTGTTCGAGCTGTTTGCAGGATGGCATCGCTGACTAGCAGAGCAGCCCTACCCAGGATGAGTGAAGGATGTCCAGGAGTTAGTTGATGTTGCGTGACTTGTACCTCCTCCAGGTGGATGTGAAGTTCATCCACCACCCTACCCTTCTGGAATTACCCGAAGTCATCTGGTGGTTAGTGGGAAACCGAAGTCACTGCAGCAACATATGACTATGATGGAAAACGCTCCTGGCTCCAGCGATACCATCGGAACGAGACTCAGCGGTTCTTCATGACTGGCTCTGAGTGTCTACTCAAGGGCACTCTAGACGGGAGAGAGATGAAGTCTCCCATACGGAATGGGCAGGTTTCAAGGGTGGGTATTAGCACGATGGGTCCGGAGGTGCTGCAATGGGCCTGAGGATGTAGGGAACCAGTGACTCCTCTGCGCTTAGAGTGGAGGATACTGCAACAATGTAGACAGCATCTTTGGGTCCGCACAGTGGCAGTAAGGGATGGGCAATCCCTGCACTTCATCTGAATCCTCAGAGGACAAAAACTCAAACACTAGTTCCATCAGCGATACCGCTGGATCTGGTGGAAGCATGTAGGCCAGTGGAGGATGTGGTGAAGGATGCCTTGACTGCAGCATGTCCTGGATGGGAGATCTGGCCTCCCTCAGGTGGATGGTAGCAGAAGGTTCTCCCAGGGCAAAGCGTTCCTGGGGCTCTGGCACCTTTCCCAACACCCTGGTGCTAATGGTACTTTCCATAGTGGGAACCAATGCTGGAGTGGCAGACTTTCCTGGAGCGGGCGTGTCCCGTACCTTAAGGCATGCTGACACTGATGGCATGCGCGGCTCGGTACCTGGTATCTGTATGGTTTCTTGTCATGTTTATAAGTCTTGGAGCACACTGCCTCCCCGTGGCTGGAGATTGTGGAAGGAGCGTCCCCTTTCTTCACTTTGGAGGAAGACTTACTGCCATGCTCATGTGCATGCTTCCTTACCTCCTGACTAGGTCCCAGCATGGGGTCCATAGTGGTGGTACCACTGGAGCTGGACCTTGTCTCCGTAGCTGGAAGTGCACTCCTGGCTATCTCAGGCCAATGTACAGGGGTTTCCCCAGCCTGGATCTGAATGATGTCTCATGGTAACTTCCACAAGGTGCTTCTTGAGGCGGAGGGACCAGCCTTCTTGGGTACGGCTTGGGAAAGACTGGCAGATACAGCATCTGGATGTAGAGTGGTCTTCTCCCAAGCAATAGAGGCAGCGTTGATGTTCATCGCCGGCCGAGAAGGAAGGAGGCACATATTTTAAAGCCTGAGGTCTTCAGCATGGTCCAGTATTCGTGCATAGGTGTGGATGGTGGTGGTGTTTACATGTAAACAGATCCCCCAAAGTCCCAATTCTACTCTAAATAACTACTAAAACGATTAAAAACTATGTAAAAACAGTAAAACAGCAAAAGACTACGAAAAACTAACTACATACAATTATACTCTTTTTAAAAGGTGCGTCACACAAGAGGACACCAAGGGCTGGTCAACACCACAGCAGTAAATCGATCTAATTTACGCAACTTCAGTTACGTGAATAACGTAACTGAAGTCGATGTAGTTAGATCCACTTACCGCAGTGGCTACATTGAGCTGTTTCAAAAGGAGAGCATCTCTCATCGACTTCCCTTACGCTTCTCGGGGAGGCGGAGTACACAAATCCCATCAATTTAGCGTGTCTTTAGCAGACACGCTAAATCGACACTCGACTATGCAGTGGTGAGAAGGAACTGGAGACACAGTCAGTCCTCTCCACCCTTAATCACCTTGGGCAAGGCAAGGGCACATGCGTGGATCGACACTACTACTTTCAAATTCTCTGGCTCCGGATGTATGGTGCGCACACTCAGTGGAATACAATAAGGACCATCACACGAAGAACTTCTGTTACAGTGCTACACTTTCACAAAAGGAAAGAAAGAAAACAGTTCTCTCCATTTATCATGTGACGTTGCTATAGGACAATAGTCTGTGCATTGTTACCTACTGCAATTCACTTGGCATTGCAGTATGAAATTACTAAATAGAAAGTAACAAGGAGAGTTGGGTACTGAGGAGTGTGTTCTTGGCTGGCCACTCAACAATTTAAAAAAAAAAAAAAAAGAAGAATGTGATCTCAATGGTTTCCTGAGCAGGTGAGACAATCATGATAAAAAGCAGAACTATGCAAACTTCCAGATGTCATTACAGATCAGACCTCTTAAATAGGTCAAACTTCAACAGTACTTTATGGTTTACTGCAGAGGATTCAAATTTGTTTGAAAAAATTATTTATGATGGCAAGAACTCATTTGTATTATAATGCACCTACATTTATTTTTACTTTTCTTTTTTTCCCTCCCTTTATTCTTACATCCTATCTTCTTTTCTTGTACTTTCCCCTCCTTATAGCTTTATTGGATCCGTTTAATCAAAATTTGCAACATAATATTCCAGAGAATGCCCTCCCTGCCACCAACAGAAAATTCAATCTTTTGTTTTCATCCTTTGTTAGAGAAAAATGCCAGTAACTGGTGCAGTGGTGATTTGTTTGTTTAAACTCTAATATGAAAATGTAAGATGTGCATAATATAACCCATATGCTTCAGAGGTAGGACACTTGCTATGTGTATTCTCTGTGTCAAACAGCAATAAAAACACCAATTGAATGGAACTTATAAAGTGGCATTTCAGCAGAGAATACTTTATCAAACTACAGCAAGTGCTCAAAATTCCCAAGTTTGAATGAAAGAAAAACCAAACCAAAAAAGTTATTTTATATCCTGAGATAAAATATTAGAAATTTAGAATTGATGTAAGGAATATCCATAGCTATTTTGAACATTCAGTATATAATTCTTGGGTTATCTAAACAAAACGCTTTGCAGATCACTTCTAATCACATTCATAAAAGATATTCTTGGCCATTATACAAATGGTCCTAATTTACATGGCCATATTCTTTTTCTGGACTGCTACAGACATTTCAAAATCTAATTTGCCACATATTGGTAGGTCCTGTAAATTCTGTATGAAAGTAACAGTAAAAGATACAGCATAAGTTAACACTGCAGCCTGCTCACAAATATAAAATAAAGTCAATCCAAAAAGATGATGATGTATATTCTTACTTGTCTAGGTTTTCCAGCAATGACTGACATACAATTGTTAAGTATCCAGCTTCCACTGCATTATGAGAAACATCTAAAACAAACAAGTACACTGCAGGCTGAGGAGGACGAAGCTGTAAAATATAAAAAAGAATTCAAAATTCTTATTTTAAAGGGTAAAAAATGTTAATAGATAACCTTCCCTTTTTGGGGGACGGGAGTGGGAGGAGCAAGAGAAGGAAGGGAATGGCTTGCAAAATGCTTAAAAATATATCCTATAATTAAGAACATAAGAATGGCCATACTGGGTCAGACCAAAGGTCCATCCAGCCCAGTATCCTGTCTACCGACAGTGACCAATGCCAGGTGTCCCAGAAGGAGTGAACCTAACAGGTAATGATCAAGTGATCTCTCTCCTACCATCCATCTCCACCCTCTGACAAACAGAGGCTAGGGACACCATTCCTTACCCATCCTGGCTAATAGCCATTAATGGACTTAACTTCCATGATTTTATCTAATTCTCTTTTAAACCCTGTTATAGTCCTAGCCTTCACAGCCTCCTCAGGCAAGGAGTTCCACAGGTTGACTGGGCGCTGTGTGAAGAAGAACTTCCTTTTATTTGTTTTAAACCTGCTGCCCATTAATTTCATTTGGTGACCCCTAGTTCTTATATTATGGGAACAAGTAAATAACTTTTCCTTATTCACTTTCTCCACACCACTCATGATTTTATATACCTCTATCATATTCCCCCCCCCACCCGTCTCCTCTTTTCCAAGGTGAAAAGTCCTAGCCTCTTTAATCTCTCCTCATATGGGACCCGTTCCAAACCCCTTATCATTTTAGTTGCCCTTCTCCGAACCTTTTCTAATGCCAGTATATCTTTTTTGAGATGAGACCACATCTGTACGCAGTACTCGAGATGTGGGCGTACCATGGATTTATATAACAGCAATAACATATTCTCCGTCTTATTCTCTATCTCTTTTTTAATGATTCCTAACATCCTGTTTGCTTTTTTGACTGCCGCTGCACACTGCGTGGATGTCTTCAGAGAACTATCCATGATGACTCCAAGATCTCTTTCCTGATTAGTTGTAGCTAAATTAGTCCCCATCGTATTGTATGTATAGTTGGGGTTATTTTTTCCAATGTGCATTACTTTACATTTGTCCACGTTAAATTTCATCTGCCATTTTGTTGCCCAATCACTTAGTTTTGTGAGATCTTTTTGAAGTTCTTCACAGTCTGCTTTAAATTAAATTAACCAAAAATTAGATTTACACTGTCATTCTGGGCTTTTAACAAAGTAAAATAAAAGAAATTCTCACTTGTGTTAAGTTTATCATTAACACAGAAAACAAAATCAACATCTTAGTCTGTCCTTTTGTCAGCTGGGTCAGAGGAAAGCCTTTGATGTCAACTGTAGAATTTATTCTGAAAAATGGCACTGTTCTTTCAGAATGCTGACAATGATACATTTTACTATTCTGAATTACAATAAGCCATCAGCATTACATTGCTACCATAATTATAATTAAGTGTATATTTAATTATATAATCTAATCCCCTTAGTCACAGAGTTTCACTTCTAAAATAAGCCCCAATCCAGCAAAGACTAGTGTTGAATTTAAATTTAACCAATCTGATAGAAATTCAGTAGCTTTTGTGAAAAGACCATTTTAATCCTATTTATTTGCAGCTATGCTTTCTGTAACTGAGTTAATACAGCACTGACCCTGGGTTTCTTCTCTCTCTCTTCCCCCCCCCCCCGATGACCACTCAGAATAAAGGATTTTGGCACCAGAGAGACTTCCCTTAACTCTCTGGTTTGATTCCTTCTGACAAAAATAAAATACAATTTATTTGACCTACTTTATCTTCCTACTCTGGATGAAAAAGCTTATCCTTTCCATCCAAAACCCAATTTCCTCTTGGATGGGTGTTTGTGCTGTCTTGACCCACTCACGGAAAACAAATCTGCAAGTAAATGGGACTCAATTTAGCCTATGACCTTGTCTACACTGGTACTTGACAGTGCTGCAACTTTCTCGCTCAGGGGTGTGAAAAAAACACCCCCGGGCGCTGCAAGTTTCAGTGCTGTAAAGTGGCAATGTAGACAGTGCACCAGTGCTGGGAGCTACTTCCCTCATGGGGGTGGTTTTTTTAACAGCGCTGGGAGAGCTCTCTGCCAGCGCTGGTGCCACAACTACACAGCCACATTAAAGCACTGTGACGACATACTGTATGATTGGGACTGTTACAGCATAGATCCTGGGTTCTTAAAGCACCCCAAAGATGATAATAATAATAATAATAATAATAATAATATATGGAGATATACCTATCTCATAGAGCTGGAAGGGACCCCGAAAGGTCTTCGAGTCCAGCCCCCTGCCTTCACTAGCAGGACCAAGTACTGATTTTGCCCCAGATCCCTAAGTGGCCCCCTCAAGGATTGAACTCACAATCCTGGGTTTAGCAGGCCAATGCTCAAACCACTGATCTATCCCTCCCCATAAAAAAAGGAGATCTGACTCACTATTAGGAGGCACTATCACTTCCACCCCTGTATATCTCAACCTATACCCATACACGATGATTCACATAACTAGTACTTGTCCCCTCCATCATCAAATACCCTTTTGGTGTGGATCAAAATCAAAATAAAATACTGGTTACTGAGGAGGTCCTGTGATGCAGGTAGGAGAAACAGGGAGAAGGAGAGACACCTTTTTCTTCCTTTGTCAACTATATATCTCCTGAGATGAGACTCCCTTATGGAAGTACAGTTGTAAGCACACTCCCGCTAAAGACTACATGAGCAGATGTCTGCTGGTTTAACTCCTGAGTATCCACATCTTTCAAGGCTATTCCTGAGGTCTGAGACTCAGTAGGGCCCTGCATCACACAATAATTTCCAGCACTTTCCAGGTGAGAGGAAATGGAGGGAACACATAGTCTACAAAGAAATCCCAAAGACTGATAATGTGTCATGCACTAAGAACGTCCTACTCTGGGTACCTGCTGTAGAATTGATTGCATTTAATATTTTTTCATGTCACAAAGAGGTGACAAGGTTGTTACGTTCTACTGGCTGTTAACATTTGTATTGGAGCACTTTAGATCTGCTAAACCAGTCTGATTGTAGGTTCAAGCATCCAAGATGTGCAGGGCTCATGCTGAGAACAAGTTCCCTGCCCATATGAATTGGGAGTGTTTCTTCTGCCTTGTTGATTTAGGTGCACAGCTACTGCTGAGTTGTCTGAGGTTTATCAGGATACATTTGCTATTGCTCTTTGCAGAATGCCAAAATACCCAGTCTCACTCCTCTTAGGTGCAGTTATGTAAAAGGCCTTTTTTCTCTCAAAGACCAGTCTGAGCTACTATGGAACCTGTGATAGTCCTCATTCTATTAGGTTTGTCTCAGTTGTGATATGCAGCCTGTTCAGTTTTTGTACAGGTCCTTCCTGTACTGGTGCTTCCACCACTGTATAGAGTTTCATTTACCTGGTGTCCAAAATTCTCTCTGAGAGCTTGATCTAATGGGATTGTTGCTGAGCGTGTCCTAGAGCAGGGGTTCTCAAACTTTTTATTTCTGAGGCCCCCGCAACATGCTATAAAAACCTCCACAGCCCACCTGTGCCAGAACAACTGTTTGTCTGCATATCCAGTAGATTAAAAGCCAGGGCTGCCATTAAGGGGGTAGCAAACAGGGCAATTGCCTGTGGCCCCACACCACAGAGGACTCCGCAAAGCTAAATTGCTCGGGCTTTGGGTTCAGCCCCGCATGTCTTGGGCTTTCTGCACTGAGCCCCAGCGAGTCTAATGCTGGCCCTGCTCTCTGGTTTATTTTGGAGGACCCCCTGAAACCTACTTGCGGCCCCCCCCCGGAGGCCCCAGACCCCTGGTTGAGAACCACTGTTCTAGAGTGCCACATTTCCCTCATAACCAGATTGCAGCACACAATCCTCAAGCCCTTAGAGTAATGAGATTACAGTCTGAGATGCACAGTGAAATTGCAGGCTCAGGTCTAAAAACAGCTCAGTTTTTAAAATCTCTCCTCCTCGGGGAAGACACAGCCTTGTTCAATACCTGTCAATGCATCTAGATAGGTTAGAAACTGTACCAAGCAAAGAGCGTTCTTCTCATGCTTGATCAGGAGGTCTATGTTCTTGAACATGTTCCAAGTTTCAGCCATTTCCCCCAAGGCTCTGCAGTTTCACTATGATAAGTCAGCTGACCAAATTTGGAATCTTACAGAATCCCCTCCATGAGAAGACAGCTGCAATCACAGATATGACCTTTGTAAACACCCTCAGTATTGAAGCCAACAAAAAGAGCAGGGAGTGGTACTAGAAATGCCAGTTCAGGGTGAACATTTGATGTTATGGAAATATGAAGACATTCTTCTTTTAAATCTACTGAAGAAACGAAATTTCTCCTAGTCGATCACAGCTAATATAGACTGGAGAGACTCCATCTTGAATTTGAGTATTGAACATTAACCCACTTCAGATCCAAAGTGGATCTTGTCCCCACCTCTATACCTTTTGGAACTACCAATTACCTAGATTAAATTCCCATCAGCTGCTGCTCTCTGAACAATTGCTCTGATATCTAAGAGATATTTCACTGTCCAGAGGTCAGCTTCCTCTGGGGGAGGAAAAAGGAGGATGGTAGAAAATGGCAAACCTGAGAAGGGGGGGTAAGAGCTTAAAGTCAACCTGGGACACAAATGACAACTATTGTCTGAAATGATCCCTTCCTGTTACAATATAAAGGAAGAGATTCTTCTTTCTCTGAAAATAGGGGAAGGGGACAGTCAGAAACATTGACAGCTCTGGAAGGCCACAAAAAGCAGTTTAGACTTTGAGTCTGATTTAAAAAATGAATAACTCCCTCCCTTTTAAATCCCAGACCTAGGTCTTTATTTAATAGATCATCTTCTAGAGTGGCTTTTAGCTGATGAGTGCTTACACTTCTTAGCCTTTGAAGCTGGCATCACAGAGTCACTCCTATAGATTACGGTCCTCGACATCTAAATATTTCATATCCCCCTCTTAGAAACACTCTCTTCTTTGCACAAAGCACTATCATTCTGCCTGTACTGCTGCTGGTTGAGTGGGCTGCTTCCACATGTTGCACTATTAGCACCTGCCTCAGGCTGCAACGGAACCCCCACTTTCCGGCCGAGTGCTGGTCAGCAAAGCATGGTTGATGGTGCCCAAAATGCTACTGTAGGATGTATGAAAGCTAGGTATTCTCTTATCAGAAAGATTTTCAGGCCCTATTTCCATACTGAACTGGCTACAGGTTGCTTTCTAGCTGTTAATTTCGTGAGAAGCAGGAATCAATCTTGGGAATGAAAAGGAGTTCTTTGGAAGATGCCAACATTCTTCTGTCTGATCAGTCATTGGTCCTGTCCATGTTTCCAGAGGAAAGGAGAAAGCCAGAGACTGCTGTAGCACAGAATGAGTTTGGTGGTCTTTGGCAAATTAGTGTGTAGGTGCCCACATCACAATTGGTATTAATTGACACCTTTATTGTCAGTTTTGACAGAGAAAGATTCAAATGGGAACTGAAACAATTAGTCTTTCAATCCTAAGGGTCCCTTTAAGTGAAAACTGAGGCACACTGGTAGGGCACTGTGGGGAAGTTTGAAATGCGAGTGATGTACACACTTTTTAGTGGTAAATAGGGTTGTCACTCTAGCATCTTGCACTAGTATTAAATTCACATACTTAAAAATATATATTTTTACCATGTAGTCTGAAGAAGCAATGAACTCCACTGTAGAATTTTGGACCTCTGGCCGTTTATGAGGCTCCCCATAGGATCGTGTCAATGGGTTATACATAAATTCTTCAGGAACTAAACAAAAATTATGAATCCAAAGTAAATTATTCACTGACAGATATACAGATTTTGTGCCTATTAGCAACATTCAACATAATGTTAATTGCATTATATGTATTTTAATTACAAAAAGCAGCAATTAGACCATAAACATTTAAAAAGTATGTAAATAAGGAACCAATCAGCGTTGTAAAACCTAAACATCAAGATAAAGAATCGGAGACAAGAATGTCTATTTTACGGACAAGAAGGTACATGTATACTCTGTGCTTCCAGTGCCCTACAATGACATGTCTCAACGTGCACTGTATTTATGAAACTGGTCTTTGTCTTTGATTGCTGTTACTTATGACCTTGACTTGATTGTGTATTATGCTAGCAGTCAGTGGGGAAAACTGCTTTTAAATTATATAGCTCAGGTTGTCCAATCTGATATGGTGCTCTCAGGCTCCTGACATGTTGCACGGTAGCCTTCACTTGGACAAAATATAGGTGCTTCTGAAAATGATTTAGATATTAAAAATCCCAGATATTCTAGGTGAAAGACATCTCAGTTGTTGATACAAATGCAAGACATCTTAAATACATTAGGTAGCTGCAAGAAACCAGCTACTTACCTTTGTAATGAAACTTACCATCATTAACTCGATAGCATAAGTTGCATTTCCACCTCCTTTGGTCAATGAAGGAAACAAAAGGGTTGATATATGTCCTGCAGGATCTGCACCTCACAATGGTGCTTGATGTTATTACAGGTAATTGCTAAAAAGTAAAATAATGAAAAGCTGTAGCAAAGAGGATCCTAGTAAAATTTTTAGAGGACAGGATTGTGCTATATCTCAATCTCTGAAAGCTTCATAAAACCAAAATATTCTGTTAATCTTGTCTCCCACTTGTCCTTTTAGCTCATTTATATACAGTGCAATAGTCACACCTTTACATTCTCTCTTTACAATAGGAAGACATAATAAAGTATTATTTTGACTGAACGAGAATTTGATCTCACATATACCAGTGTAAATCATGAGTAATTTCATTTAAGTCTATTGTGTTATACTTGTCCACAAAATGTTGGAGAGAAGAATCTGGTCTGATAATGGACATTAATATATTTAGTTGGATAAAAGGAATCTGATTGATCCCCGTGACTGCAAGGGTCAGATCAGCAATCATTTTATTGTAATTCTAGATAAGCAATAACACTGCTGAAGTTAAGTTATGCAGGAATACTTGTACATCTTGGATGACTGAGGGCACTAGCAGTTGGATCTTGTGCCTGAAAGAATACCCAAGACAAGCGAATACCCACATGGTATAGCTTCATGCTTTTTTATGTATAAGCAATAGCACTTGATACAGAGAGAGCCATAGGTTTTCATAGGAAGTTAATAAGGACAAGAGTTGCTTAATGTGTGTGCACACTTTCTCAAGCACAGATTTATTTTTAACATAGTATCTGTAGAAATTAGATTCAATCTATCAAAGGAAAAATACAGTATACTGTAAATACTTGTATAGTGTATTATGTATTTTTGAACTTGTTTAGAGAGAGTGGATGAAATGAAACAGTAGCACTTTTGAAACAGCATTGTTAGAACAAAAGACCATCTTTTTCTGTTATTTGAACATTGCCTGTCTGTTATTTAATTCCTCTCCTCGGACTAATCTAAAACCCCATCCCATTCTGCAACAGCAGCAGTCATTCTTGCAGTTAATGGGGAATAGACTCCTCTGGACTTCTGATCCTCATCTACTAAGGAGGTCCTCTGTGGATATGGACGGAGCAATTTGAAAGATTTCATTCCCTCCAGAGATTAAAGTCAGACGACCACCACTTCCTTAGGAATATCATGAATAAATAGGCTAGATTGGCAAATAGCTATGCAAATTACTCTAACATCTTAGTGCTGAACACTGTAAAATAACCAGAGAAATAGGAGGAGCTGATCCCTGCCCTGCTTCCCCAGAATCTGATCAGTTGTGCTTGTTGAGAAGAGATTCCTGGAAGGGGTGGAATCTTTCAGATCTCTCCCTCTAATTCAAGTTTCACTTAATAAATTAAGAAGTCAAGAGGCAAAACTTCAAATAGCTATTAAATTAAGAGGAGCAATGTATGCAGGCATAGAGCACAAGACATGACATTTAAAAAATACCAAGGTAAGCTGTTCACTCTGATGAAGCTTTAAATAAAAACAAACAAAAAAGATAATTTTGCCTGAACCACTCCAACCACACTAAAGGTACGTAAAAAGCCTTAATTGTTGCAATTTGTATAGTTTCTCTAACAACCTTGTTCAGCTTATTAGATGCTACGTTTCATTTAAAAAAAGGATGAAAGATTGACAGCCATAATTTTTATCTTACAGTAACTGAATCAGTTCATCCTGTTACATTTAAGATAGAATTTTGAAACAAACAAAATTTGACTATATCAAAGAACAAACACCTGAACAGACAAGTTGAATAGAAATTCTACTTGAAAATAGTTCCACACCTCCTGCTATTATTTAATCCTCAATAAGGCTTAGACAAGATAAGAAAGTTCCACACAGTAAAAAGCAAAGCACTATGAGAGGATATTCAAAATAAAAAATATTTAAATTTTACCGTTAGGTCTCTGAACGGATGCAGCAGCAATCCCAAGGGAAGTTTAGCTTTGTTTAGCAAAGCCTGAGTCTGTGGAATATTTGTCAGTGTACATCGAAATGAACTGGAAAGAAATCATACAAAAATTAGCTCACAAAGCAAACTTGAACACATACGTTGTATTAGCATGCAACTATATTCTCTGCAATTCAAAGAGTTGTTAAATTTTAAATATTACTAAACCTAGTTTCAAAATAAACAGAAACCATTGCCTAAAACAGCAAAAGTCTCCTCCAGAGAGAATAATATTTCAGTATAAGTGTGGCACAAAATGAAAAGCTGAAAGTATTGCATTTCAACAGGAAATGCATACTGGAGCTATTATTGAGTTTTTAAAAAGAATAAACAAGGGGGGGAGGTCTAGTACCCAAAGTAATTTAATCTTTGAGATGGTATTTTCATTCATGATAAATATTTCCTGATCTCAGAACTCACTAAAGGAAAACTGTACTTGCTATTTGTTGAAAAGTTATTTTAATGTGAGAGGGAATATAGGAGGATCTTAATGTTTCCCTCCCACAAAGAATTATGAGTCATCCTCTTCTCTGATGGACGTGGAATGGCTGAGACTTCCTAAAAACTTATTAATGCCACCCAATATAGTAACCAAAGGGGAATAGCTCCAGACACACATAAGGAGTCCAGAAGAGGAGTACTGCCTCCAAAGTGCTCCAGACGTGGGACTGAATGTGACCCAATCTAATTTCCCTCCTGCTCACAAAAAAATACATTGTCATTAGTCCACCAAGCTGACCCAAATTTACCTACTGGATTAAAGCTTCTTTCAGCATTACAACTAAGCTTTTTGGAGCAGACTCTTTTTCCTTGTTTGCACGTGCCTGGCAACTTAGCTGAGGCCTTTATGCACTACTACAATTTAAATGTTTAATCATAATAATCATAATGTCTCTACTACTAACACACAAATGGCTGGATTATTGCAGTGTGCCTGGCACATCCTTCAAAAGCTGCACGCTGGTGACTGGCAATGGAAGACTACATAAAATTTCCAAAGATTGCATGACTGTAGGTTCCTATTTGCTTCAGATGCAAGCCAACATACTTAGACTGAAATATAAAGTCATTCAGGTTCTGGGTCCTGGCTACTTGAAAGACTGCCTCTCTCCTAAAGTGCTACCATCGCAGCTGAAATCAGTTGGGATCCTTTCCCTTCTAGTCCCTTGATTTGAATCCCAAGACATTCTCACCATAAGGAAGTTCGATTTGAAACTTGTTTCTTCCACTGGTCTCCCAGAGATCACATCTGTTGGGCTGTTAGGGCACAGTGTAAAGCGTATCTCTTTCCTTAGGCTTTTGCCCAGCTTTAAGATTATGGGGTTATATTTTAATAACAGACCTTCCAGTGTTGACACCAATCACTAGTCACATACAGTGAGAGGGATTTTTTAGTGCTCATCATTGGCTGAACTCTGCTCCCACTGATAGCAATGGTAAAACTGCCAATGACTTTACTGGGAGCAGTTAGGCCGATGCTGGGTGCTTTTGAAAATTCCACACTTAAAAAAAAAATATCAGAAACTGAGTATTTTTGATTTTTATAAGTTTATTGCTTTTGCAAATGATCTCAATTTGTCTTTGTGACCACCACAAATGATGGTAAATAGATTTTATCAATGAATAAAATGAGGCAAATAGAGGTTAAGTGATTTGCTCAATGTCAAAAGCAAATCAGTGGTAGAGTTGGAATTAGAATGCTGCCTAGTCTTATTATGGTAAGTTTCATGAAGATTGTTTCAATAGCTAGTTTATAAAATGTTCTCTTGATTTTAGAATGCCAGGGCCTTGAGGTCAGAATGGTATGTTGTTCCAGTAGAAAGGAATACCATAAGTTACTCAACAGTGACCTCCCCAAACATAAAGCAACAATACTGGTAGACTCTAAAATGGTCTCATCTAGTTGCCCTAAGAATGGTAGCCATAATGCTAAGCATTGATGGCAGGAGATGTAAATTAGCAACAGCTTCAGTGTTCACACAGAAGTGAAGAGGACTTAACCTCTTCTCTCCAGAGGAAACAGACTACACTGATTGACCAGTGAAAGCAGAATACTGTGGTCAATTTCATCTTTTATAATTTTTTTATTATTCTTAACTAAATTATGAAATGTGTCAGTAAAATGCTATGTCTAATATACCCAAAACTGAAAACAGTATACCTACTCTGGACTGCAATTTAATTTTCTAAGGTCTGAATTCAAATTAGGCACAGGAGCTAGAACTGGAGAAACAGGAAGAATATTCCTATCTTGTGTAAGGTTTACTGGTCTCAAGCTTTCTGGCTGCTGAGAGTGCTGTAGACTTAATCCTCCTAAGGTGGATGATAATTGGTTCACACCAGGATACTGCTGGAAAAAAAAAAAAAAAAAAAAGAGCATTGCAAAACAGTTATACTACATGTTTAATTAACATAATCTTAATTCATTACACTATTCTTTCAGATCACCATTAAGGAAGATATAGCAGTAGCTAATAATCGTTTGCCAATGAGAAGAGACGTGTAATTTTAAAGGGTTACACAAGCGGACAACACTTCCCAGAATCTTAGCATATACTTCTTTGAATAATATTCAGTCTATAGCATGAAGTCAACATAAAAGATAATTTTACAGGAGGTGCATAATCCTCATTTTCAAGACGCTCTTATTCAACATTGTCTAAAGAAACCTAGAGGTAAATCAGCTCAGATATTACAAGAAAACTGATATTTTCCCTCCTCTTCTAAAGAGCTCACTTTTTTCTTTTTCCAAACCAGAAAAACAGGCTATACATGCTATTTTCTCTCTCCAATCCGGGGTAAACCTCAGACTACGTTGTGCATTCTCTTGTTTCTGTAGCATTTAGAAAGACTATTTTAAATAAATATTTGTAAAAGCTCTCTCAATTTAAAACAAAAACCTAATCAAATTTGAATTTTTAAAATTCAAAAATGCTTCAATTTCATTACCCATAACTGCCTGAAGTCAAGGAACTGTAGTATTATCACAAAGAAGGTTATAAAACAGCTTTTAAAAAACATCTCTTTGGCTCTTCGTTTCCAGGTGAATGCCCAATTGTCTTTTATTAATAAAGTATGGAGGGGTTAAGACTATGAACCAAGCACAGAAAGGGAAACATTAGGTTAAACAGAGCTATGCTTTCCTTTTCCTTTAGAAGAATTTTCGCTTATACTAACCAATCTGCATTCCCCAAAGTGAACTAGTACTCTCTTTTGGTATACTGTCATCTAGTACTGCTGTATGCAGATCAATGGGAAATTTGGATTGTATATTGGGAAATTACTGGTCTTCCTCTTTATTAAATGTTTAACTATAACAAATCTTCAGTTTCTTTCTCCTTCAAAAATAATTTAATAAAAGCTTAAAATATTAAATTAAATTTAATTTTATTTTTTAACTAAAAGTTAACAAGTAATTACATGGGCTACAGCAATTTGTTGGTCCTCTCCCCAATAATTCAAGTAGCCATCTCATTCATTATTTTGAATTTAGAGCTACTACATCAATATTCAGACTTGCTTGATATTTACAGTTCTCACATTTAAAACTGTACTCATTTTTAAAATAGACTATTGGGAACTATGTCAAAGGCACATCACTATAAGCTTTACAAAAGGATTGAAAAGAAACATCAAATAATTTCTCAATTAAAAATCTCACTTGAGGATATTGCTGAAACTCAGAATGGTGCCCTGGATTACTGGGCTGCATAGCAGAAGTAGATGGTGTTGCATTCTGGTATCCAGGTTGAAGAGTTGGGTATCCGTAACCAAAGGGCTTAGGAGTCCTTGATGTCTGAGGAGTAGGAGCTGGACTACTTGCCGCAGAATTTGTTTCTAGGATAGGGAAAACAAATATTTTTTAAAATTATCTGTCTATTGCATTTAAATACAATAGGAAGCAAAATACAACAGCTGATCATGAGAATAATGCTTTTGTTAATTATAAAGAAACAACCCAAAAATTTCTCTGCATTGACCAAATGGATATTGTAAAACAGCAGAAAAAAGTTTCTCTCACTGTTAGTACCTTGGGCAACACGTTGGGGAGCACTGTCTAACTCTACCTCTAACCTACTTGTCTTCTAACTCTCCTCCGCATTTAATTAAATGCATCTTATCTACTAAGCAACTGGAACTTCATAATGTCATTTTATAAATTTCCCCTTTTTAATAGAAAGGTAAGAGTAAATAAATTGCAAAAATATAAAAAATAAAATCCCCTTAATTATAATTTTTTCTCCAAGACTGCTCTTGCTCTCAAATCTCCCCTGCCCTGCAAACTGCACCAAGACCTATTGATCTGTAGCCTCTCTTAGTCACCCATGATGAGATTTCTAAATTTTATTAAGAGGCTAATTCTGTCTTCAAGGGTGTACATGGGATTTCTGTCGAAGTCAATGTAAGCCCCGCATGTGTATCCAAGGACAGAATATGGCCCAACCGTTTTAAAAGGCTGAGTTATTTGTAGCATGCAGCTACTATTCAGATAGTTTGTTACAAAGTGGTAAGGAGAGGTAGACTGGACAAGAAACAGAAGCATAGCGTACTGACTATGGACTGAGATGTCTCAATAGATCTCAGAGGGGAAAAAACAGCAGTTTTGAAACTGGCACAACAGCTGAGCAACTTTACCATGTGGAACAATATACCTTAAACTATCATCTACTGCCAGGATGAATAGCGGCTAGGTGGTCTACCTGGAGTAGAGGCATGGCAGTGCAAGTCACCTGCAACAGCCACCGTAAGGGGCAAGCGTTGGCCTGTGCAAGCCGGGAAAGTTGACAAGGCCAGAGAGTCTGGGGATGGTTGCAGAGAAATTTAAACCTGGCACCCTCATCCCCCCCCCCAAAAAGGTAAATTCTCTCAAGTAGGGGGTGCCCACAAGAAAGAATCAAAGCTGACATGAGTAAAATGCTACTCAATTCTATAGTGCTATATAAAAGTTTTGTAATAACAAGCCAGCTGAATTGTGAATCACACATTTTATAATTTAATGGATGTCTCATTGCTGATGACTGAAAGGGAGGCAGTAAGGATAAGCAGGAATCCATGATGGGATTACAGGGAATCTAGAGTAAGAGGAAATGAGTGATGTTTTTAAAAAAGAACAACCTGAAAAACTAGAACTGTATATTATACAAGTAACATTTTTTTGTTTTGTTATACCTTAACAACAACAATTCAGAATTAACATGCAACAAAGGGCTCACCTGGATAGCCACCTCCTTCAAGGGCATCATAATTGTTGATAACAGGAGAGGCACTGCTAGTAGTGGAGGAGCTGTCAATAGCTAAAAACAAATACAAAATAAAACAAAGATTTGCTTTAAGCAATGGCAAGCTTCTGCGAGGACAGGGCTTCAGAGAACATTGTTTCTTAAACTTCTGGTAAGAAACTGTTAAAGAGATACAGGAAAAATATTGTACTAAGAATCCAACAAAGTTATTACTATTGGAAAATACAAAGATCATACCTAAATGTAGCCAATTTGGTATTCAGAAAATATGGAAAAAGCAACAAATGGATAAGGACAAAAATAAAATTAAAAATGATTTCTTATTTCAAAGAGGTTTTTAGACAACCATTTCTAAATTCTTTTTAATCTAAAAGAATTCAGGTAATTTAAAGCATTTCTATTTAAATTGGCTCAATGGCAGCATTTAGCACTCCCATATCATGCAAGACTTCCAATGGTCTTCAAAGGGAGTTTTGCATAAGTTGAGAGTGCTGGAGAGCGCGTTTTGAAGTAACCTTTTCATTTGAAATTTTCCAACGTCCCTCCTTTCATATGCTGTTGTAATAAAGAGTGGCTTGTTTTATTGTTAAATGCAAAAGCTCTAACACACGCTCGACTGAATATTGCTTATTAAAGTTCTCTGCCTTAGCCGTAACAGAGGAAAATCTGATGTAGCCAAAAGGCATACCTAAACACAGTAATAAAATAAGTCAAGTAAAGAGTAATTTTTTTTAATTGCGTAGACTACTGATGCATAATTCTTCCTAGTGCCACATACTTATTCTCTATTTAACTGATTATCTGTATTGTAATATATTAAATAAAAATAAGTAAATGTTTTAAAAGACTTGGTGAAGTTTCATATACATTTGCCACAAGAAAGGGACAGAGTAGAGAGACTTTGTATACCTGCTCCTTAGAAACAAAAACACAAACGGATAATTTTGGCCTCTGAAATCTGGTATCTGAACTACAAGTCACAAAATGCAACACAAAGAAAATAGTACATGTCAGAGTTCAGACAAAACAAAGCCACATACAATTTTTGTGGATGGGAGAGACAGGATGGAAGGCCTTAAGAGATTCCTCCACTGCTGCCTCAAGGTTATCAGCTATTACAACTCATCCTTCCTAGTGAAGCCAAAGTGGGTTTCAGGAAGACATTAATGGAGAGAGCATGCTGGCTTAGCAAACTGGAATGGGGAAAGTGTTCCATGCATAGGAGCAGAGTGAAATGCATCTGGGAGACAATATTACTAGTAACATGGAAACACCACTATTGTAACGATTACTTCGGCATTTCAATGATAACTGTTTCTATGAAGTTTTTAACTAGGGTGTAAAACAAGGCTTAAACTCAACATTCAAAATCAGTTACTCTTAGGAACAAAGTTTTACTTCCCTCTTTAAAAAAATTTTTTTTTTGAAGTACAGTATTAATTAAAAATAAACTTGTGAACTTAATAAACACCTTCCTTTGTTATATTCACTTATGAGCTTGAAAACCAACATTTCTTTCCCTACCAAGTTTTCTCTTTTTTCCCCGATCAGGTGAAAAATCCTAGGAGCTGAAGCAAACAAGATTCTTGTTTATTCAGTAGCAGCATAGCTTCTGTAAGTTTGGTTAACCAACGCTAATTAAAAGCCAAAAGGGGAGCTTATTTCCACACCCAACAAAATATGGTAGGTATAGATGTAGGAATTTTTAAAATGAGTATGTTCTTTGCACAAGAAAGCTGGTTTTACTTAAAAAAAACAAAATCAAACCACACACAAAGAGGAGACTACTACCCAATTATAATCATTTTAAGGTAGGTCAAGTTTTGTGAATGTTCTGGTGTCACAGGTTAGTTGTAGAAAATATTTCTCATTTATTCAACAGTAAATTGGATTCCATAAAATTTATTACATCAACTCACACCATCAATCAGATATCAAATCAATTTGCACTAGTCACTCATTAAGATGTGATTATGTAATGATCAGACTATATGGCAGAATAAAGCACAGACGCGTCAAAGCTTTACTTTAGTGAATGCATAGAAAAGATGATTACTATGCAAAATTGGGCTAAAGCATGAAAAATATATATCTCAAGGTGTAGCACTCTAATTAGATAGTGCTGGCATAAAATCAATAGTTATGAAGCAGAAATTAAAATATATATTTTTAATGAATACAATGAAGTCAAAGTACATATCTCCAAAGAATAGCGTGAAGATCTTTGAGAGATGAATGACAGTTTGGAAGCACAAATGATAACTCCTCCCCACCCCCCCAAGTGTCAGACTAAAAATGTAATTAAATCTGAATTATTTTTGGTTTCTTCTACAAAAGCTTTCCAGGCCAACTCTGGGAGAAAGATACAGTATGAAAGAGGATTATAGTTGGAGAGAAACATCTCAGGTTCTCTATGTAACAGTTCTGCTAAGAAGTCTAATGTGATGAAAAGAATACCACTCCTCATATCCTATGAGAAACGTTTGACCCCATCGCCCTGAAGATCGTTTATGTACTGTCCCTACCCCCTGAAAAATTCATCAGCGTGCCAACGTATATGAGAATTCTGAGGGGGTCTACAGATTTTTTTTCCCCATTGCAAGGCATATTTTGTTGATTGCACTACTCCATACTATTATTCTGACATGTTGCATTTTACTGATACCAACCTATGACTGGCTCTGATTCAGCAAGTTACTTACACATTTATTTGACTTCAATAGGAATCCTCACATGCTTAAATTTAGTCACTTATCTTGCTGAATCAGGATAATAGTATTGATTTCTCTGTATACCTTACATATTAGTAACAGAGTTCCCTCCACATTACTGACTCTTCCAGTATCATGTACTAAGTGACTCGAACACCAGTGTACAAGATAACCATCAGTACAATATACACAAAATGTTGTTGATACCATGAACTGTAATGTTGCCGTCAGGTTCTGTGGTTTGTTCTGCAATCACTGCAGCTGGAATTTGAGACACTTTCGCAACCAGATTTCTACCACTGTAGTGGTATACTTGTTGCACAAGGAAGTATCTGTTTTGTACCGCTGACTCATTGTTGAATACAGTGAAATCTAAGAAACAAACCTAATATTAAAGTCCCCTACATGCAATATCTAGTCTCAGCAAAATAAAGTGACATTTTGTTGCCAGGGCTTTAATGGTATTATTCTGCTTGAAGTGATAGAGCAGTAGTTCTCAAAGTTTTGTACTGGTGACCCCTTCCACATAGCAAGCCTCTGAGTGCAACCCTCCCTTATAAAACATTTTCTTAGATATTTAACACCATTATAAATGCTGGATGCAAGGCGGGGTTTGGGGTGGAGGCTGACTGCTGACGACCCCCCATGTAATAACCTCGTGACCCCCTGAGGGGTCCCAATCCCCAGTTTGAGTACCCCTGTGATAGAGGGTCCAATTCTGTTCCCATTGAAGTCAAAAGAAGCAGTGAGCCTAGAGTTAAGTAGTGCTATTTGTGAGAGTAATCGTCTAAATTTAACCTTTCTTAATCTTGACAAAAAATTTACAATGAACATCTAATGACCAATGTAAAAATATTATTGGTTAAAAAACTGATCATGCTAGTAACATAATTATACATATTTTACAACCTTTCTTCAGCACCACTTCTAAGTAGGTAACAAACTAGAGAATCAGATTACACAGAAAGCAACTGTTATAAGGAACAATTTAGCAGAAAACATTCCTCAGATTTATAAAATAACATATGGATAAACTTAATTTAAAATTAAGCAGGATAAAGATTTCATTTAAGATCATTCACCAATAAACCTGAATTCTGCTTTTATTCAATTTTAATTTTCAAAAACTCTGAAGACTAAATGGATTAACTTAATTTCATTCAGAAATAGATGCTGGTCTCTGCAAAATGCTAAAAATTAGCTTTTTTTTTTTTTTATACATGGTAGATTGCAAGACCAATCTTTTTCTTTGGAGGAGGGGGATAAAACGTTACTCTAGGTATGCCTTTTTGTTAAGAGAACTCTCCAGGAACACGTCTTGCTGTTCGGTTAAATGCTTTCTGAACAAAAAACCTATGAAAAGCATCCTCCAACTGAACTCAATGGGCAGGATAAGTGAGCTGGTGTAAGACACAAGGAAACAAATATGAGGCAAGAAATTATTCTCAAAATATCCTTCTAAATCACTGCAGAAAACAAACTTCTACACAGCATACAACAGCTGAGTAAAACTTTCATGTGTAACAGCCTGCCGAGCACATTTTTCAAAAGAGGCAGTTGCAGGAGCCATACGTCAAGGCTATGATGACTGGTAAAAGCATAGAAATGTGGCTCCTGTACATTGTTCCAGAGAAGTAACCATTCTCTCCACTCCCAAAGCAGTGAATGTCCTTATGAAATAAGCCTAAATTGAGCCTGAAGCCTCTTCAGCTTTTAACAGTAGGACTTCCTAATAATCCTCAATACCAACAGCACGGTCAGTAGTACACAATACAAGAGGTTGCAAATGTCTACCAGTAGGATGAATCAATGGCTACATATCTTTGTCTCTCAAGAGGGCTCTTTTAAAGGAGATATTTAGCACTCTCCTCACCATCAAGGCTGTAGATCTACTTCTCTTTTAGGGTTCATGCAAAGCAAGAAAAATAAATAGTGACCTGAGAAACTATCATGACCTGAGGAACTATCAGAAAACGTGGAACTAGTTTTGAAACTAAACCATTCTGATAAAAAACAAACATGGATCCTTGCAGTGAAAAGCCTGAAACTCCCAACAATCCTACTCAAACAAACTGCCATAAGAAAAACAGTTTTCAAAGTAAGTGATCTCTCTAAATTATCCACCAGGGTTTGGGGAAAGAGAATCCATAAAGACAAGCAGGGTCAAGACCCCACAAGAAAAAGGGAGGTCAGCTTTGGTCTCACTTTATCTGACACCCTAAATACTTTCAGGTAAGTGCCTGTGGACAAATACTCTATTACACATAATTAAGGCTCCATTATGAAATTGCACAAAACCGATATTCTCTAACATATCTTTTTTTTTTTTTTTTTTTAAGGAAATGAAATATCACAACAAAGATAGAGTGGAGAGGGGCAGAACTTTCTTGAAGTGTGCCGAATTCCAAAGGTCTATCATTTTGCAATAGAATGTGGAGATGAACTACTTGTGGGCCAACAGAAACATGGCAATCACTTTCTCAGAGATCTATATTTTTCTTTATAAAGATTATCCTCCCAAAAGCCATGCCAAGAGACATTGGTGATATCTCTATCATACTGGTCACTGGCATATCAGAAAAGGAGAGAGAGGATGATCTTGAGCTTAAGTCACTAGACTGAGAATATCTCAGGAGTTTTACTATTTTCCTTTCTCTGTCTCCTAAAACTAAACAGACTTGTCTTTCCTGATACTGGACAGTACTAGAGAAACACAGGACAGGTTCCGTATACAGTTATTGCCTTAAAAATAATATTTACCACATTACAACATATGTTTCTTTACTGTAGTATTTACAATGTTTCCTATACTTAGAAGGAGAAATACCAAAAAATAACTGATACATTTAACTATCATAGGTGGTAAAACATCTACATGTATAGCCGTAACAGAGCTAAACCAATCATCCAAAAGCTCTACATCAAGACACATTCCATTAGAACATTACAAGTTTGCTGAAAGTTAGAATACTGAAATTAAAACAACCTTATAAAGTGCAACCTTTACACTATAAAATACGAAGATGCATGTTACCTCGGGGGGAAAAAAAACATTGTACTGAACAATTGCCAATTACTACACTCCATTTTTAACTACCATATTCATACAAGAGTTGGAAATTTCCCCTTAGCTTGCTAGGTGTCTGAAGACTCGCAACTACTTTTGGGTTTAAATTTTTAATTTTAATAATTCAAGGTGGAAATACGAAGACAAAACTTGGGCAGAAAAAAAGCAATATACTGGTGTAAAGCTAAAGCAGACCTGCTTCCTCATCCTCCTCATCCTCTTCCTCATCATCTGAACTTGATGACAAGGGAGCTGGTGCAGAGCTAGCTTGATTATTAACATATCCACCATACTGCATGCCTGTGAAGTGGAAAGCACAAACACAAGAGTCAAACAGACAGGAAAGATGAGAAACAAAAGTCACAAATCATTGCATTAAAAGTGAGAGAAATCAGGCATTCCAGAGAACATCTTACATGCAAGTGATGAAAGTTCATTAATAGTCTCAGAGAGCTAGATCATCTCTGTAAGTAGTTTAGCAGAAGCAGCTTTTTAGTGAACTAGTTTGGTTCAGCATTAGTACTGCCTAAGAAAAACTAGCAGGAAGGAAAATATGTTTAATAATTCCTCTGGACAAAGAAAGAATAAGTTTGCTTGGCAAACTTGCCCTTTTAAAAACGAATCATCCAAATTCTTTAGTATTTTGCAGTTTAGCAAGAAGAGTAATGAAATATATCATTGCCTCACCGTATAAGCGCACACATGTTCCACCTTTCCATGTTTTCCATCACACTCCTACCATGCATTTTAAACAAGATATGCCAGTTTAATAAGTGTTAGCACTACTGTGCCGGTTTACTTGGTCAAGAGTGTCAAAAATGAGGGCCTACAGTTAGGCTCATAAGTCCATATTTAGGCACCTAAATACATGGCCTGATTTTCAAAAGCACGGAGGAGCACCCAGGAACGTCATCACAGAACATTCTACAAACTGTAACCAACAGTTTTTAATACAATAGGCACTGTACACAAATACAAACAATAGACAAGGCACTAGATACATATACTGTGTAAAGATGTGATGTATAGCCACGTTAAGTACTGATCAGTTGACAGTGTGTGCAGAACTACTGACTTGACAAACTACACAAGTACTCAAAATCTTGAACATCTGTTGATTTTATAGATGCAACTTACCATAGTTTTCTTCTTGGCAGCTCAATGGACTACTATGCTTTAAAAAAAATTAACTCAGACACTTCCAAAATTTTGAAGAGTTCTGTGTTTTTCTAATAGAAGTCCTGAATTTACACTGGACTAGTATACCACATATGAGACATGACAATATATTTAACATTCTATTACAATAAAATTGTGGCAGATAAATCATATACACATTGGCATTCATGTATACATACAATGATGTGTATATGTAATGACATTCAATTACTAATTCAAACTGTTTTAACTGTTGTATAGTGAGCCACATTAACATGTATTTTATTAAAATACACAAGCTAGCCATCACATCATTCTGCTTTAAAAAGATTCTCAAATGAACAAATCAGGAGTATTTAAATTATACTTAATACAACTCAGTGGGGATAGTTTGAAGAGCAGCTACCAAGGCAATGGAAGAGGAAATAAGAAACCAAAGAGAATACCAGAACATTGTCTGGCCCTGCCAGAAGAAAGACAGGAGGCTATGGATATGGTTTAATTAGGTCGCAATTTTATTCACTTAAAATATTTTCAAGTACCTGGCAAAAGGTAGTACAATGCAGGCATTTCCCTAATCATTTCCACCTAATGCCCAACCTGCTTCCAGCCATCCTGTTGCTGGACCCCCACCATCCTCCCCTCATATGAGATAAAAGGGGGCTTTAAAAGGAGGAAGGGCCACTCCCTGCTGTATCAGCCTTAAGGGGGAAATAGAAAAAAAGAGGGTGGTCAGCTCCTCACTGTAGCAGACTTCGGAGCCCCAAAAACCCCTTTACTCAGATCTCAAGTGATGCTTCCCTTCCAATCCTTTTCCAATCCATTTTATCCAATAACCATATCCCTTACATAACGAGTACATTTATGCTTGGCTACTTCCTCCCACCCTGTCCCTGACAGGCTCCTAGATATTGACTGATTCCTCCCTTAATATTGAGTACACCTGTTTCTCTAATTTTCCCTGAATAATTCAGGTGCCACTAAGATATGTCCCAATGAGAAATTATCAAACTCCCTTGCTTATATATGAATTTAGCCACCTCCCTATTCACATACCTCCCCGTCATATTGACCCAAGGAGGATTCATGGCCCCCTTCTATATCCTACGTTGCAACATGTCAGACCAAATAATTGTCACCCCAGGAAACAACTCCTGGATCTGCACCACATCCCCCTTAACCCATCAATTCAACCTCCTTACGCCTTCACAAATAGTTTTCAACGAAGAGAACAATAATTGCAATCAGTTTCTGCTCCTGGGCTGCCAAAGAGTATACAAGGGGCATCAACTGTTCCCATAGCATGCTCTGCCATCCACATTAGCTCAGGACTGCCACCCTGCCTAGACACAGATGTGAACTGCCAGATGACCTGAAAGCCTACTTGTGCATCTAGTATACAATATTGTACCTACAGATCCACACTACTGCTTGCTTGGTCCATTTGCATGATTCTGAAATTGGAAACAGTAAATTAGTTCAAATTCTCTACCTGGGGTCTCACATATGTCCCATATGCATTTGAATGTCATTGCTCTGGAATGAGTGGGGACCAAATTATGCACCAGTAATGTCAACTCTAAAAGCCCTTTTCTGAAAACTAACAAGCTGGTATGTTGCGAGGGGCCTTCCATCACCAAGAATAAAGAGGGGGCCCTCTTCAATCGGTCTCTTCTCTATTTAAGCCCTTAGTGGGCAAATTCTGGCCTCACTCCCCTCCTGTAGTATGATGGACTCACCTCATCCCCTGAACAGTTTTGAATATCCTCAGGCCAAGACAACTGATTATTCCTCCACTCCAAAGCCCATTTCAAAGTATCCCACACTGACCCAAGCACTAGCTCACTCATTCTAAAAGCTCCAAAAAACTACCAGGAATGCAGTCTTGAACAAGGTTGACTCCTGTCTGCTTCTGCATATTTGGATGAGAAATAGCACCAAATCCTCAAGCGTCTGAACAGTGACTAGACCACAGCAATCCTCTCTGGGGCCCATGTCTTGAGGCTACGTTACTAAAAACCTCCAAAATATAAACCCACTACACAGATCTGGGTAACCCCTTATTCTACTGACAAATGTAAGGTCTGAGAAGGGACCAGAGATGCCAGCCCACAGGTTGCCAGACACAATGTACTGAAATTTCTGATCTTCCAGAATAAGTGATATCATTGACAGGCCCTCCCCCTCCTCTGAAATTACACAAAATTGTTAAAAACTCCTGCCATCAGCCATAAACGGCTGTGGTGCTACCAGTCTCTGTACTACTCCATCATACGTCAAGGTTTCAGAATGCTATTGGCATCTATTCTGGCTCCTTGTTGGCTCAGGATGCTAGGTCCTGAAATTCATCCACCTGAAATCACAACAATGCATCAGCTATTTCATTATTGATCCTGGGAACATGTCTGGCAGAAAACCATATGTCAAGATTTAAAGACTGTAGTACAAAAGCTCTTACCAACTTCAGAGCCTTAGGTGATCTGAAGGACTGGCGATTGAGAATATGTACCATTGCCATGTTGTCACTCCAAAAATGCACTTTTGTTTGTAAAATCCGTTCCCCAAATACTTATAGCTACCAAAATGGGAAAGAATTCCAGGAATGTTATATTCTCTACTACATATTTCTGTAGCCAATCTGAAGGCCATTCTGGCTACACCACCTGCCTCGGTAAAATTCTCCCAAACTTATTCCTCCTGATGCATCTGAATGAATCCATAATTCTTCTTCTTCAACACTTAGTGGAACAGTCAGCTGTAGTGATCATTCACTGTTTGGTCCATTCCTGTGCGACTGTAAGGGCTTGAGAGCCCAAGAGTCCAACATCGGAACAGACTTGATGAACCGATGTAATAAGGGGTCTGCCTCCACACCCCAGTTGGTGGAATTTTATCCCAGATGTTACAAGCCATTCAAGAACGGTGGTCACCAGAATGTCTTGTGGCATTCTTGCGACATGTCCGAAAAGCATAAGACAATGGTCCCAGTAGTCTGTAGACTGGAGCGACCGTAAACATCTGCATTACAAATGAAGTCATTCCACTTTATGCCCAATATACGATGTTGGCATTTTGTGTGGAAAGCCTCCAGCTTTGCCCAGTCTGAGTCGCATAGTGTCCTGTTTCGCAACCGTACAACAGTATGGAAAGGATACAGCTCAAATAGATCTTGAACTGGGTTGTCATGCTGAGATGATGTTGATTCCATATTCATTGTAAACACCCCTTGACAGACGCTGTGATGCCCATCTGATGGAGAACCTCCGTGTGAGAGTTGGAATGAACTGGTGAGTATAGACCCCAAATAGCAAAAGCCGGGGACTGTTTTGACAGTTTCATTATTCAAAGAGATTGGAGTCACAGGTGGACTTGGTCCTAGATTTTGCAGCTTTGTCTTTGACCACAAAACATGGAAGCCAACCCTTCCTCCACTTGCTGGAGTGCCTCATGAAACCTGTCGGGGCTCTGTACTAGAAGAACAACATCATTGGCAGTCAAGGTCTGAGAGTGAGAGATCACCGATCTTAATGCCTATGGACCTGATAGAATACTGCATTATGAAATCCATTGCCTGACAAAAGAGTGCAGGGGCCAAGACACAGCCCTGCCTGACACCAGATACTGATTTAAAAGGTGCCAATATCCGATTCCCCAAATGTACACGGGCAGTGGTTCCATTATGCAGCTTGCTAATCAAGTCCAGCAGAGCAATTGGGAAACCTACCTCTTTTAAGGCCTTCCATAGTGTGACTCAGTCAAATGAATCAAACGAAGCCTTAAGATCGACATGCGCTACATGCAGGGGCTTCTTGAACTCATGGTGTATCTCCAACAAGAAGAGGGCCAAAATGACATCTAATTGGACCTGTTCCTCATAAAGCCTGAGTGTTGGGGGCAACACTTCTGATGTAGCAGGGGCTCCAAAAGCGCCAGCAGAACATGCACAAACAACTTCCCTGGCATGGACAACAAGGTGATCGGGCTGTAGCTCTGACATTCACTGCGTGGTCCCTTGCCCTTATAAAGTGAGATCACAATACCGTCCTTCCAGGGAGTTGGCAAGGTTCCAGTTCTCCACACCAAATGAAAGATGGCCAGAAGTGATTCCACAACAGAGTCAATAGCACATTTTAGCAGCTCTC